TCCCTTCTCTTGTTGATGTCTCAGTTGTTTCTTCTCTCCTGTCGAAAGCCGGGCTACTAACTAGCCAAGCATCTTGGGAGTGAAGTCGACTAATCGGAACAAATGTCAATGCATTAGAGATGCGCTCCACCATCTCGGAGAGAGAGCCAAGACCATCCTATATAAGGACTTCCTAAGGACTTCTTATTCCAATTTGTAACCTTTTGCCGGCAGGGATTTAACATTTGAGCAACATATTGGAGAGCACTGGGAATAACGGAACCTTTGATGGATGATACAACACCCCATTCCTAGGCCGGGCTTGGAGTATGTTGGTCCCTGGAAGAGTGAAATCCAGGGAATCTCCAACACAATCCACCTGTAATGGTCGGAGACTTTTTTACTTGCTTGAAACTGGACTGAGTGAGTATCAGCCCTACATAGCGATTTGGAGAAGAGGCCAGGTCTGGTATCGAGTGTGCTGTGCCGTGCTATTCTCTCGCTTAGAAGCATCTGTCGTCACCGCACAGCACTCTGTTGGATGATACATTGGTATGTCTGTATACACAATACGGTAAGTCAAGTGCTCATCGAGAGATCTTTCAACCCCAGACTCCCAGGTCCAGAAAGAGGCATATCTCCATTGACCAAGAATGAAAGAGGTCAGGTGCAGCATCGGCCCACAGCTCGAGGCTTCTGCAACCCCTTTGGGATTGATGCTTGTTCATTTGACGATTTACGATTCGCTACATTTTGGACATGAACGAGCGATGTCGGCCGTTCATGATCAAAATAGCATTGAATCACCATGACGCTATAAGGGGATCTCACGCTTTTGATACCCTATGGCCTATACCGACGACCAAGCCGTACGCTTAGTACCGGTAATGAATTCAGTCTCGTTGCAAGGCAGTGGTTCGAGTATGGATTCTTTCTTTCATCATCGGGAATTGACAACGAAAGAAAGAAAAGAAAAGGTCTGCCACACCACGCGCTTATGTGTGTGAGACCAGCTATTGGGATTGACCAACGAGGAGTTTCGATCATTTCATCCACGTTTTTCCTCCCTTCCCTTCTCTAAGTTGCGCCCTTTCCTCCAATCCTCATCTATCTTAACCCCTGTACGCCACTTGTCGTCGACTCTTGACCAGTGGGACAATTGGTTGACCTGACCTTCGCACTGTATCAGAGAACTACTGTCTGGGACAAGACACAACTGTACCTATCGGTTGCCCTGTCCTGACTTGTCTTGTTGTCTTTTTTCCCCAGTCACCGTGCTCTCAACTACCCCAAATTCTGTTCAGTGGAGTCTGGATTCTGGGATCCTTTCTACGAGAATTAACGGAGCAAGAGACCTGGCCTGCCGGGCTCCAAGCAAGCACAAGAATCTGGGGGGGCGCTGGCTACTAACTTAGCAAGCTTAGCTGCTGTAACCCCGGTCTGGGGAGCGGACGTTGCGTTAGCAGGGCCCCTGGCTGTTGACGGCGCACACACCATCCACCAGCAGCCCATCCCTGACTTCCCCAGATTTTGCTGTTTGCGGCGTCGTACTGAATGGAACTTGACAGGAGCTGTGGAAATGAAGACCCAAGCGTCTACTGATAGTATATGGCTGATCTGGACAGAGGCTAACCAACCCAGCAGTATTCTGATCAGCGCTCTACTACGCCCGCCTGGACGCGTTCCGGATGCTGCGGTACTTTCTTTCTAAGTTTCTTCTCATCTCAGTTTCATTGCCTGTTCCCTGGGACTTACGAGTAAGCTTCGTGGCCATGAACCGTTAGCTCCAGAGGATTGCGCAGGCGAATCTTCATTGGTGGCTCGGTCTGGGACTCGGGGGAAGATGTGACGTCCCCGTACGGATCACGAACTAATAGGAGTCCGCCGGCTTGCGTGTAGAGCCAACAAATCAGAAGAGCTGGCGGATAAACCCATTCTGCTCTCTATTGCCGTAATTGAGGCTCTCTGGTAAGCCCCATTCCCCAGACCATCAGAGATGGGGCTAGTCTTTTGACTAAACGAAAGCAGAATTGCTTGCGTTGGAGGGAGGACGCTTTGTCGACGATCCGAGGATTACTCGGTGGGTACTTACAGCCAGGGCGTCCGTACTTGTCCGATAATCTAAGCCTTGACGAACATCGAGATGTTGTTCGAGGCCTAGAATAACAAATTTGCTGTTTGTTTGGATCTTTGATGCCGTGGCGAGCTACCATGAGGTGGTCTAACAAGCCGAGCAGACGAAGCATACGCTAGAGATTTCAACTAACGAGAGCCATGGGGCCGGTAAGCTAACAGTGGAGGCATTCTAATGACTTTGTTGCACTATTCCTTACAAACATAACAGAGACGAAGCAATTCTGTACCTTGCAAGGGCTGCAAATTTCCAGGTTATGTGGAGTAGAGGTAATTGTCTTGATTCGAACTCGTTGCGCTATTGAAGCATTGCCAAGTCATGAAGCAGAAGTTGAGCAGCGTAATTCGATATTCCGTTCGCTACAGGGCCCTCGGGACCCTGCAGGGGCTGCCACACACGAGATATTTTGAGTTTGCCCACGAACGGCGGGCCTTGTGGCGTTTTCCAGACCAGGCAGTTGAATGGTGATCGAGAGGTCCCTGGCTTCCCTGTAGCATGTGAGTTGAGTTATTTACAGTGCTGTAATTTATTACAGGACTCGGCATCCTTGTCTGCTTTCAGGGCAATTTTTTGCTTTTGCGCCACGAGGCCGGGTCGATGATGGTGGAATACAGTACAGCAGTTGGATAGCAGTCGACTATCGACATCAAGAAACTATCGTAACCGCCCTGTCTGTGCTGAAGAACTTCCAATCGTTAGCGAACAAGCGGAAAGTATTCCGGCGTGGCTACAATCGGCGTGTTGGAGGTCGAGCCCAACCAGACAAACCAATGATTACCCCGGTAATTCGAATTACATGGCTAAACCTCGGACCGGGAAAAGACAATCGTGCAGAAACGAAGCTCATCACATTCGGCAATGTTTCGAAACCAGGTACGTAATGTAATGTCAATGGGATGCCTCTTTCTTTCTCTCTTTGGAAATGCCTTGACGCTCTGCAGTAGAGCAAAACAAGGGGAGCTTCGGCTTTCTTCTTCAGTCAAAGGGTGGTTCCACTGCAAGTACTGTAATCATATACACATTCATTCATGCCTAGTTACAGTGCAGCACATATCGACTGACAACGGGCTGAGCTGTTTCCAAAGTGGCGAGAGTGTGAGAGAGTGGCGCTCTCGAAAAAGGCGACTAGAAGACAACAAGAGGGAAAACTTGATTATAAGCGTGCAAACCAGATCAAGAAAAGACCAAAGGGACGCCAAATTCGGGCAAAGTCCTTTTGGGTGTCGCGCTTTAAAGCTGGAGCCCAAGAGATCTGCCACCTATGTTGAGGTGATCAGCAGGGTCCTGAGGACTCTGAGCGAATCACCAACGGGTGTTGTTGCGATCATCTCTTTAAATTATTTCTGTTGCGCTTCTGTGGTTTTCTGGGGCGTTGAAGATCCTTGACTGTAGGTACTGTAGGTTGGTGTGATGACAGTTAACTTACAAACATATGGATGACATTGCTGAAGGACACTGTACAGTACTGTAACTTGGCTTGACTTGACGTTGAACTCAACAAGCAAGTGCCGCGGCGTCGGAGCTTTTTCGCCTCTGTCGTTGCAATTTTCTTGGTTTATTATACTCAAAAGTTAAAGATCTGCGATATGCGATGCGACTTGACGTACAGTACAAGCAGAAAGTGTGCTGTGGGTTGCAGTCCAAGTAGACTGATTGCTTGGACACGGGAAGAAGACCGGCACTTGGTAGTTCACCTGTGAGACATTCTGACTGATAGAATGCTTACAGCATGCTTATGCTTAGATCGGAGCATCTTCTTTTTCTTTATTCTGTTTCAGCAATCTCTTGTTCAGCCACTCAGAGTACACAAACAGCTCAGGATAGGTGGCTGTCGAATAATCGCTCAATTTAATCACCGGTATTCGGCCATACACGTTTTGAGAAGAGCTGTTTGGTAGGAATCGGGATCTCTTGGTTAGTCTAGAACTCGGCTGCGATGATAGAGGGACCACTAGAATCCGCATGGGTGCGTGATTAGTTTGATGTGTTACGCGCACAGGTGGGACTGGGACTGGGAGAGTGAGAGAACAAACAGAATTAGAAACAAAGCAGGTAGTGTAGAGTGTAGGGGCCTCGGGCTAATCAACCGGTGACTCACACTTTACTCGGACTGCCTATTATCGGACATGGACATGGACATGGACTTGGACTTGGACTTGACTTGATATCATAATATCACCATACATGTCGCCAATGGCCAGGGTATGTTGTGCGTCAATCGCGTGGGGGTTTTCTTGAACTGTCCTGTGATGTATTGGTCTACAATTGTTCGAGGCATCAACCGATTAAATGTCAATTGTTGCCATTATCGAGCCACAATAATAGTACCCATCGATACCGTTAATGGCGGTGGTAGGTAGTGAGTGAATGAGTGAGTGGCCCACACCCCTCCAGTTCGACGCCGTCTCAGTTCCATAGTCAACTGAGCTACTCTCAGGTAAAGTGTGCATAAGGCTGGAATAGACAACCCTCCACTAAAAGTTTCACATTGTTTACATCGTCAACTTCAATCAGTCTCAACTCGAGATACTCAGTGATGCAGTTGGTGATAGATAAGAAATGCCCAGCCTTGTCCTTCGTCACCAACCCAGTCCAGGTTAGCTGAGCAATGTGCTGTACAGCTATTGGCTGGAAAGAGCATACGTCATAGAGGCCCATTCCAAGGCCAAGATGAAGGAAAAACCAGGCTGAGAGGACAAAGAATTGTTAGTTATATTTTGTTGAGCGCTTTATGTCTGATGGTGAGAAAAGTCTTTGTAGGAACATCAACTGTGATTTCGCTTCAATTGGTCTCTCGCCTCGTGTCTATATAGCTAGCTACAAGCTACACACGTTGTGAAACCACTTACACCACCGATTGGTACTACCAAAACTCATATTTTCCACCATGAAGCATACTTTACTTCCTCTTATCTCTCTACTCCTGGGCTCTAGCCTTGCTGCGGATGTTGTTACAATTACAGCACCAGCATCCATACCTTCCAACGAGCCAGAATGGAAGGAGAAAGACACTTTCACATCAGCTGTTCTCAACAGCACAAATTTCTACCGCGAAGAGCACAACGCTACAGCTTTAAAGTGGAACAAGACACTCGAGGAGTTTGCATCAGACTACCTCGATGACCTCGATGACTGCGAGTTCGAGCACTCTGGTGGTCCCTATGGCGAGAACCTCGCTATAGGTTACCCCAATGTCACTGCTAGCATTGAGGCTTGGGGTGATGAGCGTGAGAAGTACGACTTTGATGAAGCTGAGTTTGATGAAGAGACTGGCCACTTCACCCAGCTTGTCTGGAAAGACACCACCACTGTAGGATGTGGGAGAAAGTTGTGTGGTGAGAAAGGATGGTATCTTGTTTGCGAATACTGGCCAAGGGGTAATGTGCAGGGTCAGTTCGAAGATGAGGTTGTCAAGGAGGAGGGTGGTGCGTTTACTACGAAACCCGGTGTTGGATTAGCGCTGTTTGTGTTCCTTGGGTATATTGTTGTCTTTTTATAGAGGGTGCTTATGACGGGTATTGGATGGGCGCTTGGGATATATGATGGACGATGGCATTCATGCTGGACATGAGCTACATTGGATATGTTTCTACGGTTTCTTTGTATATACTATAGATCGCTTATACGTGTCACGGCCTTTTATATACCACCTTTGTTATTTTCTTGCACGCTTATCACGATGCCGAGTATTCAGCGAGTCATCCCTTCTGTATATATCGTATAGTAGATACAATCGTACTATGGATGTGAATCACCTGGGGCCATAAGACACTGCCGTAAAATCTCTGCTCATGGTCGTTTCAGAGTGGATTTTTGTCTCGTCTAGATCAACAGCTTATGATAGAACAACGTTAGTGGAACATATGTTTGTGATCTTCTGCCGTCAAAGGATTGATGTTCAGTCTCGTTACCAAAGTCTATTATCAACCGATCTAGCAGAGAAACCATGGTTCCCTAGGTATCTGTCTACCTATATCGATGCACTGACCTGCCAAGTTCCCCTTAGATCTCCTTCCTAACAGTTGCCTAGAATTGCATATCTGCCTAGGTATGATTGCATGATTCGGAGAGAAGAGAGCCAGCTAGACATGATCGGGCGACAGGAGACAGTCTACTGGCAATAGAAGTATGAATGAGTCGGGCATGAGGCACAACAGTGATGGATTTCTGGAACAGTCGGGTGCAACTTCTTCTTTTATGGAATCGTTTAGTAAAAGACCCAGAAGGAAGGTACGCCGCTGTTTCGGTGTTCATGGTGAGTTACTCCTTCACATGAACATGGATGTGAACTTGCAACTAACTTCATCTCAATATCAACTCAGGCTATCCGCTTTCAATGCTTCTAGAAGTTGGACCACTACTTGTCATTCTCTTACTACCATATCACTTTCTGCCCTGTATCTTCACGTTTGACACCACATCAGCATTGTCTTGAATCGACTAAGATGGGCCAGTTTATTCTTGTCTTCCCTACACTTCTAAACTGGCTCCTAGAACGGTCGGTCGAAGCTACCCTTGCAGGCAATTCACGACTAAGCGGGACGTTTTCTATCTTAAAGTCAGGTTTACTCATGCGCGTTGGCTTATACCAGAGCGAACGTCTGGGCCTACACCACAGAGCCTGTCGTGATGGCCCGACTATCACATAGCATGTGTCGAGCAGACTCGTATCTCCTCCCTTGACGTTCTACAGCACCACCACCAAACATCTGACTATCCTCGACATTGATGTTCACCGTGATCATTCCTATCATCAGGACCTTCTTGCAGCACGCTGGCCGCTATTCACCGACTTGGAAGCTTTGAAGGTCGCATGCGTGAGATTTCACCCGGTTATCAACGAGGAACCCCCATGCCGCTTTCCGGATGAAATACCTCAGGATTGTCAACACACGACTCAAATTGGTTTATTCTATGACCCTGCCATGAATTACTTTCGAATACAGGAAGGCGAATTTGTTGGCTTTCCATACGAGATTGACGATAAAATGTGGAAACTCCTCAAATCCAAGATACACATCGTCCCTACTGATGAAGACGGTGACTATCACACTTCCGGATCAATTCGCATCTTGAAATTGAAATTGATATTCGTGGAACGATATGCTGCAGCACGCCACAAGCGCCTAGCAAGAAATACGCTTGATGCACGCTGCGGTTCGTCAAGTCCAGAATCAGCCGCCGGTTACTTGAACAGACGCAACAACGCCCAGGACACTGGTCCAGACTTAAGGCCATTGCTCAACCCAAATCATAACGGCTTCACCAGATTAGATGATAAATCGTACTTTGCGTCGAGCTCTGCATCGAGCTCTCAAGCCATAGTGATTCGTCGTGGCGATTCCTAAAAGAATCCATGTCTCAATCAGCAAGTTGGGATATTCGCAAGCAGAGTAGCGATTTCAAGCTGGAATTGATCTGCAGCAGCGCCTTCTGAGGTGTGGTGATACAACTTTTCGAGTTATCGTGGAAATGGAAATGCTGGTATAAAAAAGGAGAGCGGGAGGTTTGAAGCCAAAGCACCAGCGTTTTGTTTATATGAGCTTGTGTGTATGATTGTAGCGATATTGAATCAAGAAACTCATCTTGCGTTATCTTTTTCGCCAAAAATGACCATTTGCAAAACCACGACAAAACATATAAAATAACAATTCATGTTAATTGACGTCCGCCAATCTACCTACCCTTGAGTGGTTTGAGGTCGCTCGGATAAATATTACTCCACCTCCGCCAAGATTTTGGGTTGGCGTTCAGAGCTCCCACGTCGGAATCTTGCGACAGCCAGAATCGCGGTGATCAAACAATCCAACGAAACCTCGCTACTCCCTCGATCCCGATCTCGATTTCTCAGCGCAGCGAAACCATTCTTCTTTCTCCCCAGATCCACGGCTCTTTGCGCCTACTTCTAACAAAATGACTGGTCGCGGTGGTGGCGGTGGTCGCCGTGTTCTGGTTCCTCCTATGTAAGCTTTCCTCATGAGACTTCGCGACGCGATTGTTTTCTCGCTAGATCTTTAGAGCAATGTGCTGACAGTTCTATTAGCAACTTCATTTTCAAACTTCTCCAATCAGTGAGTTTTACCGTTCTTTGGGCATACCGTCGATCACCGAATCGCTTGACCGCCGATGGATCTCGAAAACACCATGTTATCCCGAATTCTGCGCTTTTGGTAGATGAGGTAGAGCTGGTTACTAGATTGACAGGACCAGGGCGGCGGTTCAATACCGTTTGAGCTTGGGGATTAATCTGGCTGGACTGGGATTGAACGACCGCCTTGCAACCTGTTTTTACCATACCAGACGAGACCGATACCGGACTAGCTCTCTATGGCGCGAAGATGGATCATGCTGTGTTTTAGAGGTTCACGAGCGGAAGGCGAGCGGTGGTGGCTGATAAGAAGAATTCTGGCTAACTGTCGCAGCACGCTACGGTCAGCGTTTGGCTGTACGAGCAGCTCTCTATCCGCATTGAGGGCAAGATCAGAGTCAGTACATACCAAACTGCTTTTAAATAACAACCGCTAACTATTGCCAGGGTTTCGATGAGTTCATGAACCTGGTCATCGACGACGCCGTGGAGGTTAAGCAAATCACCAAGACCAACGACAAGGAGTCTCGGAGGCCCCTTGGTACGTCCCAACATAACCCCCTATTCCCCTCTGCCATTCACTAACATTACCAAGGTCAAATCCTGTTGAAGGGAGACAACGTGTCGCTGATCCAGAGCACCTCAAGCTGAAGAGGTGGCAACGGAACCGATCGGGTGGATTTGGGAAATAGACAGGCAATCGGAGTGAAGTGGAAGCAAGAAGGAATACCCAAAACCGCCTAGGCCGATTAATGGCTAATGAGGCAGTCATGGCGGTCAGTATCTTTTGAGTATGGAAAAAGTTCGCCCACGTCGCAGATGACGGGTTGAACTGCGTGGAGGACAAGACTTGGCCCGACCATATATCTTGGTGTCTACTTTTGGGAGACAGTTATGAACCAATAAACACTTGCACGCCTCTGTCTGTTATCTGAATTCTGCTGTGCATTCTTGCGATGGTAAAACTGTTGAAAGTAGCTGTGACTGTAGCCTTTAATAACTCAGTGTCTACGAACTGAGCTGACCTGTCGACTGTACTCAGGATAAACACATCCTAGATAGCGGATGAGACATTCCATCTTGGCCCATCGAGCTATGTAATCGCTTTGTCAACCAGATCCAACAACTAATACTACGCTGCCCCCACGGTTGGAAGATTATGTTGGTTGTTATCCCCTCAAATGACACTCAACTCATGCATGCGTATGCAACTTTGTCACATTGTTGGTCAGAAGTTGAGAATGCGGTCATAGAAATCATGCTACAATTCTACAACATCGACATGCATCCTGGCGGGCGATTCGAGTTCAGCGTTCCAGGCCGCCACATCCAATGCGGTAGGTAGCGTTTCCGCGAAAAGGAGATGATAGCAGCTGCAGGTAAACTGTTAAGGAAATATCGGTACTGGGAGACTGGGCTATTTTTCGATGGTTGAGGCTATCGCTGGGAGTCCTGGGCTGAGTAGTCTCGCGCTTCAATAATCGATGCAGCTTTACGTACTGAAAAGCATTCACTTGGCAACGTGCTCTTAATTGTAGGAAATCATCAAGGCTGGAGCTGAGACCTGTTTATCTTTTATCTGCAGCAGCGCAGCTACATGACGATTGAGCTGCCACGGCGCGTCAACCTCGATCACGATTCCCACCCCCAAAAGGCAATATCAACGTCGGTCCTGTCAAAGCACACTGTATGTCTCAAGAGATGCCATAAAAGCAGATTCGTAGTCTTGGGCGTTTCACTAGAGCAGCCACAGTAAGGCTTGCAGAGAGGGAGGGCAGTCTAGAAGAAAGCTGTACGCGTAGACACCGGTGAGGCTTGTCTAGATCGCAAACTCAATAAGCGCCTTTACCCTCTGCAGGATGGAAGCTAGGAGTGCAGGAGTCTGGACCCTGAATAAGGACTTTGGCTTAACGCTCGACGGGGTCTGCGAGAGGCAGCTATTTCCGTCAGTGAGAGATCTGTGTTTTTCTGATGACGTCTCATTCTTTTCTTTTTGGAATAAAGATCTTGAAATGCGCGTCAATTGTTTATAACACATCATCTGTCGTATTGCAAACATTGTTGACGTGCGCTATGGAAATTAATGAATATGCACCCCGGATTTTCGTGCCCCGCATTGGCAGGTGGGTGGAGTGTGGAGTCAGCCCGTGGAAGAGTCGTTCCGATGGTTTGTCAACTAACGTTAGCTGTGATCTATGAATATGGAATTGCATGGTGCATTGTTGTTAGAACGATGGCTGAGAACTATATCAAGCCTCTAAAGATATAAATGCGATTGATTGGTGATTGTGGATTGTGGATTGAGACCACAGGTAGTCGGTCAGCCTTACACTGCATCTGATATTGAGGTGGTTGCGGCTTGCCATCTACCCTCTAGTTTATGCGAAAGAGAGGTTCCTGTTCCCATCAAAATGAGAGCCGAATGTCCACACAAGATCAAGTACACAATCATCGAACATAAAGATCGATAGTCAATATCGGTGGCTAGCGGCATAACCGCGTCGATAAAGTGATTCTAGTCTTATGATCGACTTGACTCGTCTGGAGCTAGACGAGTATTTGACTGGGAACGTTAAACCGTTGAGATACTAACACTGGAGCATTGAGCTTGACAGCACTTGGCACTACTTATCCCGAAGCTTGGACTTCAAATATGAATGTATGAGGGAGTAGACAATAAGAGAATGATGCTGTGAAGCTCTTTCTTGCACCTTGTGCCACCACTAATGGATGAGAGCCCTCGTATTGCCAGGGGTCCATCTTGGCTTTCATATAGACTCACTTGAATACAAAGCAATCTTCCCGCCTCCTTAATGTAATGGCTGCGAGTAGCAATGCTGTTGCCATTCCACCGCTTAGATAGTTTGTCGCCAGGGTGCCAGAAGTATTGACCGCTGCCAACATAAGAGACGAAATAATTCAGTCACCTTATGCTGGTTCAAACATGCATTTCAGCAGCTTAATTTTGACAGCCTAGGTATCAAGGCCAACTCCTCTGTTACCCACCTGTTTGTTCATGCTAGTCAGGGCTAAGTCTTGGTGAGGCTCAATGGCGCTGACCTGGTCAGTGGAGTGAACGCGCTAGTTTAAGCACCTCAGCGGAAACTCGCGGCTGAGACTCAAACGACACAAACTTGAATAGGTTTCAGCAAAGGTCAGAAGACCTAAGATCGATGATGAAACTGGGTTGCAAGATAGGCGAGGTCTGCGTGGACACCACGTACCCAGTCGGTGGGTCGAGACTCGATCGAAACTTGATGATACAGCACCTTCGGCCTCGGACGGAGTTTATGATAGTCATCGTGTTCTGGCGTCGAGAAGCTGGTTGCAACGAAAAGCGTTAAGGTCGCAGCGACAGACTTTGCTGGGACTGCGAGAAGAGCCTGATCCCTGTTTGGTTGGGGCTTATCGAACCTATGTTCAGGCCACGACATGGGGGTTGTTAACTTGTTTTGCGATTGGTTGTATATGTGCACGCGACATGCAGCGCAAATCCCTTTGTGGAGGGAATTATGCTAGGGAACCTTGGAGTCGTTTCTTTTTCTTGTCTCGTTCCTTTTGCTGGAAATCCTGGTAAGAAAAATTGTCCCTCAAATTCTGCATCATATCCAGGGCAGGAATAGGCTCTTCTCTATGGAGTTGCCGAGCTGCTATCGTCGGCATAGGCATTTGTAGATTTGATGATGAACTCTTTCAAAGTTGACCTTTTCCTAACCAATCTCCAACTACATTTTTCTTCTTTCGGCTGGATCTTGAAGATTGTCATTTGTCATTGGCACAACTCATCGACAATCTGGGCTACCCCCCCTTTTACGAGCCTAGCTGAGTCCAGTGGGTCCAGAAGGACTTGGCCACTGTAACAAAGAGCATCAACTAGGGCCCAATGGGGGATAAATCATGTCCATGGGTTGGAAGATCGCTGGGCGAAGTCAACAGAAGAGTGCAGTACAGTACGGTACGGCATCGAGGTGTTGAGGGTTTGAGGACGGGTCCTATCCCGATTGTTCCGGGACATTCGTGGTACGTGATCTGTATTATACAGGGGATTGCGTTAGCAAGTCCAGCCGATGTGAATATATCTGCAGCTACAGAGCAGTTGGGGATACCTATCGTTAGATTCCGTTGCAGAACAAAGTCTCACAGTCTCTTGGTTGATGCTGCATTGCATGTTCGTCCTTACTTGACGTGTCCAAGAAGATCTTCCACAGGGAGCCTTGAACATCCCTGGCTCTTGGAAACTTCCAAGTAATGTGATGCGATGAGGTACGATGCAGGTGCCGTGTCATTTTCGCACCCATCCGATGGTGATCCTAGAAGGGTAGAGTCTAGGTTGGGTTGTAAGCCCATTCCCAATAGGTTCCCTTCTAGTACCTGAACAGATTAGCCCGGTGCGGGGGAGAGTCAAGCTCCGTTCGGAAAAGCGGACCCTGCCTGCTAATTACAGGTTACAGGCTACAGCACAGAAGAAGAACGGCAGGGCTGGCCGCTCGCTGGCCGCTGTCCAGGTACTGTACTGCCCGGCCCGGAGGATGTGCTGCTGGGTCAGCACTTTAGTGGCTCCAGAGGGTGCATCTAGCCCACTGTAAAAGGTCCTAAAATTCCATTCACTGCTTGCTCATTCCTATTCCATTGGCTGGCTTCGGACTTTACAGCGCGGGGCTGAGGTTCAAGGTGCGGCAAATCCAATCTCATTCATCCATTCATTTTGGGCCCCTTCCCCAAACTTCGTTTTCGCTCGCTTCCTTCTCAGTCTCATCTCAATCTCAACCTCACCCTAACATCCATATCTTCATATATACGACCTTCACTTTTGTTTTATACGTTTCATCTGCATTCCGTCTGGGCATTATCGCTGTCGCTCTGCCCTCGACGCGACGCTACACAGCGTAACGATCCCGATCACTCACCCCGGCTCCCCGCTCCCGTTCATCACATTTCAACCCGCCTTCACAATGAGACGCCAAAACCGTTCGTGCGACCAATGTCGCAAGGCTAAACGGGCATGCGATGCGCCCTCGCTATGGGACATCCAGCGTAACCCAGAGAGAGTTCGCAACGGTGCAGACAGCGCCAGCGGAGCTTCTCTAGCTGAAGAGCATCTAGGTGAGTTGCGTTTGTCTTTTACGGGTTTCTCCAACATCTGCTTCCTTTCCCCCTTCCCCTCCTCGCGTCTTTTTCCGATGTCGACGACGCTAACCGGAGGGCCAATGAAACTTGATAGATGAGATTGATTCTAGAGCTTTACGATGTTCATACTGCCTTCGCACTCGCAAACAATGTACATTTAATTGGGTTCGCGCTCAACTACAGACTAGCCCTGCGGCTGCCAACTCCAACTCCAACTCTAATACCAATGTCAACCCCGATACTGCCTCCCACAATGGCGCCCACCCTCGTCGAGTACCCGATCAGTCGCGCACAAAGGCCAAACGACAACGGCCGCGCCCTCAACAGCAACCAGGACCTGCGCCGGCTCAAGCTCCTCTCCCGACTCAGTCGCTCGATGTAAACGCCACTGCTTTGCTAGACATGCTGCAAGCACCTCCGACGACACACGACTTGAGTTGCTGGGGGCCAATGGATACGACCGGCTTTGCCAACTTTCCTGCATTCCCTCATACTACTTTTGATGCCATGCCCGCCAATGGTGTCTTCGACCCGACCGCATTTGATACCAGTCTTCACAACAGTGTCTTCCAGAGCTTCGAGCCTCAATCAACGCCAGGGCACCCGCATCACATAGATCTTACGCCTCCTACAGAGCTCACCAGCCAAGCTCTGCACTCACGGCATCAAACGACAGAGGAGGAAAATGCTGAAAACGGATGGCCTCTATTTCAGACCCAGTCTGTCGGTAGTGATATTCCATTCCAGCCTTCCCCCTCAGGGTCGAACTCATACGAAAGCGACATCTCATCCAGATCATTGAGCGTGCGCCACTACCCAGAAAGCTTAGCAAGAAGTTACAGCACTTCCATTTCACCTTTCTCAGTAACACACAACATGATGACGAAGACGAACAACAATATGATTTCGGACAATTTGATGAGAATATACCACGATGTTTTGGAACATGCACTGTCTTGTTGGTTATCGGAGGAGACATGCCCTTACAAGCCAAATACCATAACTCGGCCTTCCAACAATGGCGTTAGTTGGCTAGCATCTCACTTCGAGGGGCTTAGCGTTGGTCAACCTAAACAGCAAGACAACAGGATATATCGACGAGTCATTCAACTTGACAAGCAGGCACAAGCAACAAAGTTAATTCGGTTGAGTAAATCAGATGACAGAGCTGCTTCAAAGGCATTGCATTTAGCTATCATGGCTTTTGCGACTCAGTGGGCTCAAGGCAGCCAGCGTGAGCGCGATAGGTTTCCACAAAGCTTGACCCAAATGGATAGCATGCGATCGGAGTTTGACGATATCAACGAGGATTTCGACCGAACACTTCAAAAGACTTTCTGGGCTCAAGCTAAACGAGCCCTGCAGGATTGTTCTGATATGGAGTGCTTCCGCGTGGTTTGTGCAGATTTGATAATGGGATTGGCGCAAAAACCAAGGGATGACGAAGACAACAACGACGGACCCTACAGCATGAGTAACTTTGATGGTGAAAGCCCGATTGCGTCAGGAGAGGGTTCAATTGCTTCTCAGCTCAGTGAGATCATCGCTGCAGAAGGCCCGCCTGTTTTCATGGAACGAGCTGCAAGAAAGATGCATGCCCTCAAGTTCCAATATGAGGCGCGGGAAACGGGTGTTCTCGACGTGTCTGGAAGTTCTCTTGGACTGGAGAAGGCGACTGCTGCGGATGCTCTGAGTGAGGAGGATAAGGGCACCATCGGTCTCGTCTACTGGATGACGGTTATGTTCGATACTGTGTCCTCATCCATGAACGGCCGGCCTGTAGTTGTTTCGGACGAGGAGTGCCACCATGACCCGACCTATCCTGACCACCCAGAGCATGAATCTTACAACATCGAATACCGTCCGCAGGACGCCAGGTGGTGGGCAGAGCTTTTCGTTCGCGAGAACAAGGAGGGAGCTCTCCGCTGGCCTTGTTCATATGATGCCGCCTCTAAGGGTGTTGTCACCGCTGCTCCTATCAAGGTCATTCTGTTCCGCCACGTTTCGTACCTTCAAAATACCATTAGAAGTCGATACCGTGGCGAGCCTGTTGAGAAGGTCATTTCCAATGCTATGGCTGTTTATAAGCACTGGAATGTCAGTTACGGTGCGTTCTTCCGGGATCTGGTAGAGCAGTACGACTCGGTCCCAACACTCATCCAAAGCTGGTTTGTATGTGTGGTGGCCCATTTCCATTGTGCTGCTCTCCTACTGGCAGACCTTATTGAGCTTGTCGATGAGAACAAGTTGGGCTTGGAGTATTCGACCCAGGTCCGTCAAGCAGCCAATGTCGTGGTGAGCCTTCGAAGAGACAGTGCAAACATCCTTTCAGATCTTGCCCGAGTCTCGACACGCCCTCGAGCTGGTGACGTGCCTGGAACCGGCGTCTCGGACCTCCACTTCGCAGTTGTCGAAGGTTCCATTTTGACGGAGCCATGGACGATGATCCTCATCAGGGCGTTTACCAAGGCGGCCATTCTGCTTCTTACCGAGGCTGAGGAAAAAGTCCGACATGAACACACACCTCTCGAGACGCCTAGTGTCATGCATTTAGTGCGCAGGTGCGAGGACTGCACGAAGGCACTATGGTGCTTGGGCAAGAAGTCAGATATGGCTCGCAACATTGCCAGCATTCTATCCTCAGCACTCGGACCTTACATGATACCAACGACCTTGTCGCACATGCCTATCTCATCTATCGAGCCAGTGATGGTATAACTTTGGATCTTTGAACTTTACTTTGTATTTAATTTTGCAAGCGATCAGCACACTTGGTTATTGGGATACTGGGGCAACAAGAGGTATAATAGCGAAATGAAACGAACGAAACAGTCCCATATATTTACATGTATCTATGGGGAACTATTTAAACGAAACAGTCATTATCGTCGATGTGGTGTTGTCTTTGAGACCAGGATTCTATGCCTACATACTGTCAGTGTCAAGTGATGTATACTGCCAAGCAGAACTGGATCCTGACATAAATAGCGCCCTAGCATACTGCTGATTAAACAGCCTTACACCCTCAACCCATCTAGCGAAAAGAGGCATCCTTGTTAATGGGTCCAGGACTGCTGACGCGATGCAACAGGCTGCTTACTTAGGCACCGCCTAATAAGCGTACTGCATACCCAAATAGGAGATTCTACAGGATCTAAATGGCTCTGCTAACTTTAGATACCACGACGAATCATCACGGAGAACTGTGTTTTGACATCCCCATGGTAGGACCTTTGCATTTTGCCAAGAAGTTGGGGGCCAAGCAATGTGCTGCGCATTCTACAATGAGTTGTTCTCTTGTCAGAATTCTCATACTCAAGTTCTCTTTAGCATTACTCGTAGTTCAAGGTAAGGACATACCACTGCTTTTGAACGGTTGAAGTTAAGTTGACATATGTTGATGGCTCAAAGTTGGCGAGATATTGAAAGGTCTTAGATACGCATCTTAATTATAGCAACCGCATTTCAAACACCTGCGCGGTCAAGATATTCTAGAGCGGTTGAGGCATCCAATCGGAAAATAACTATAATCTGACACTGGTGCTGTCAAACAAGGCTCAGCTACGGCTTAGAAACGTTGATCAACACCGTTGGACTTACACCGACGATCTTTCAACCTTGGCGTATTCCGTATTATAGATTTGCCTCATGTGGCAGCACTTTAAACAGAGAAGAATTCTACCTTCCATCTGGCAGTGTACCTGATATCGAGTCTGCTCAGCTGTTGAACGGAACTTCCGACTTTCAATTCTCACTGCGATATCATGGATCCACGGTAGGTTTGCTGCGGGCAGTGTTATGGGTCTGCCTACATATATGCATACATGGATATTGGAGGCCATACTACAGCCTTAAGACCTAGTGCTTACAGCATAGCCATCATGTTTTGCCATATACCTAAAGTTGAGTATATAAGAGTAGGTAGCCATTCTTCACGTCGTATAGATAGTTGCTTGAGACTAGACCACCACACATCATCACAATATTTTACAATATTTCTTGTCTACCACAACGGAGATATACAAGAAAGTCGACTTTTATCTCGATATATCTCAAGCTAGGGTTCCGCCTACCTGTCAGTCATCATGGCACCCAGTGCAGTTGGCAACCTCTGCACATCGACGGCATGTCTTCAACTGGCCGCAGACATGAAACAAAGCATGGCTTTGAACTACACAGATATTGATCCATGCGAAGACTTTGAGCAATGTATGAGACTCCAATCTAGATATTTAGCTACTCCTAACAATGATAGATGCTTGTGGCAACTGGGGTACATACCACGACATTCCCCAAGGTGAAGAGAGCATCCTCGGCATCACGGTCTCGCAAGAACAAACATACATCCTCGCAAGAAGAATCCTAGAGGATCCCTACCCTACTGGAGACGATGCCGGTTATATCACTGTCAACTTGACAAAGGAGCAGACCAAAGCTGATAAGAGAAATCTTGCCAAGATTCAGCAGGCATATCAAGTTTGTCAGAACTACACTGCCATTGAGGAAGAAGGTCTCGATGTCTTGTCTCAAATAGTCGAAACAGTCGTGGATCTGTATCCTGCTACTGCTTCGAACGCAACTAAGAACTCCTCTGCTTTGACGGAAACATTGGCGTTCTTTGAGAGGTTCGGAATCGGAACTTTCCAACAGATGTTTATCCTTCAGAATGAGTATGACCCAGAGGAAGTCGTGGCTGGGATCTCTCCGCCTTTGTTCAACGGAATTTCGTTGCCGACTACAAACGAAGGTGAGGCAGAAATGATCGAACTGATCTCTGCTCTGCTCATGGCCACGCACCCTTCCAAGCTCAGCAATACAACTGCCATGGCCCTCGCAAAGTCAGTTTACGCCTTCCAAGTGAAACTTGTGAGTGCATGGGCATGGAGTGTGAGTAACGAACCCGATGATATCGTCCCTGCAGGAGATCTCAAGAAGTTGGCTCCGAGTCTTGACTACGAGAGCGTGATTGAGCAGCTTGCTCCTGAGAACTGGAAAGGAACTATCACCACTCTTCAGCCATTATACTTCATCAACATGTCTGAAATTGTCTCTCAGACATCATCGCAAACAGTGCAAGCGTTCTTTGTATGGCAGATAATATCTTCAGTGTCATCCTACATCGAACATGACTTGACCAACGCCTACAACAACTTTCAAGCCAGACTCCAAGGCAAAGACCCCGAAAGCCCACAGCCTCGCTGGAGAAACTGTGTTGCACTGTTGGACCAGGGGGTTGATTGGATCATTGGTAATGCTCTTGCTGAATCTATCATCGGTCCTCATGGTCTAACCTGGATTCTCACCCGTTTCTTTGTGGATAAGAACTTTGGGCCCGATAAGATCGAAACAGCCTCAGACATGGTCGACTATATCAGAGAGGCTTTCTCAGATCGAATCAAGACGCGTGAATGGGCGACTGAAAAAGTCAAGAAGGCAGCCCTCGAGAAAGTCGAGGCCATGCAAAAGATGATCGCACTTCCCACCGTCCCTGACCCTATGGACCCTATTGCTATTGAGAAGTACTATTCCGACATTGATATAAGTTCTTCTTTGGTTTTAAATGCCCTAGCATTCGCAAAGTCTAGGATTGCCAAACACTGGAAGAGCCTCTCGAAGCCATACAACAGAGGTCAACTCATCATGACCACCCTTAAAGCGAATGCGTATTACGCGCCTACCCGCAATGAGGTTGGTCTGCTGGCTGGGTACCTCCAAGCACCTCTCTTCGACCCCGGATACCCTGATTACATCAACTACGGAGGTGCAGGTAGCATTGTTGGTCATGAGATCACACACGGTTTCGATAGTAAAGGATACATGTACGACAAGACTGGGAACAAGACCTCCTGGTGGGACCACGAGTCAGAAGAAGCCTTTGTGAACCAGACAAAGTGCTTCGTCGAGCAGTACAGCAACTTCAACATTACGGGGCCTGATGGAACAGGTCTCCCCGTGAACGGAAGCCTGACTCTTCCCGAGAACATCGCCGATGCCGGAGGTGTCGTGTCAGGTTTTGCAGCCTGGAAGAAACAAGTCAAGGATAAAGGAAAGGCAAAGAATCTACCCGGCTTGGAAGAGTTCTCACATGAGCAACTGTTCTTCCTCAAATGGGGTCAAACTTGGTGTTCAAAGATGCAGCCTGAGCTTTCTCTACGACTGCTCACCACCGATGTACACGCACCCAGCGCCGCGAGGGCTTTGCTGCCTTTGAGAAACTCCGCCGAGTTCAACAAAGCCTTCAAATGTGCAAAGAAGGAGCCTGTTTGCGAGCTGTGGTGAAACATTTGTTTTGTCAGAGGGTGATACATTTCTAAACAGCCTTTAGACAGAATCCCATTAAGTAACCTATTGAATGTTTATCTATACATTTCTCTTGAGCCACAATATGCTACAAGTGGTGATTACTTTGTACCATCATTTGTGCTCTTGTTTTGAAGTTACCCGAGCCGCCGCAGGCGTCCAGACATAACATGATCCCCATTTTCGTATCGATCTCCATCAAATGGGCCCAGGATTCTTCAGTAATATTATTTCTCCGTTGGTTTCAGTCTAACGACAGTCTAGTAATAGTCTAAGAGTTTTGTCTATTTGTTACTGTTGTGCAGCCCATAATCTGTTCATATGATATGGCCCCTCCATAAGTTGTTACCTCTAAACTCGATAGGTAAAAAGACTTTTTGATACTAATACATTAGTCGCCTCCACACCATACTCTTACACAGCCGTTTGTACTATGTGCCGATTCGATCTTATAAATACCTGTTATAGGAAAGTGAAAGCACCTCAGTTCAGGTACCTTGTCCGATAGACGAACCTCCCCGATAGCTTCCTCGGCCACGTCGGCCACGGAACCACGGAGCACGCCCTCGCCGACCGCCGCGTCCACGCCCGCGCTGTCCAGAGGCGACTGTAGTCCTTTCAAGTTCGGGTGACTCGTTGTCAGACTTAGTACTATTGTTGGTTTCGTTTTGGGTGAGTATCTCGTTTTTCTTTTGCGGAGCCTTTGGCATCGCCAGTGCGGATGCGCTGGTGGCTCGTGAATTATGTCGTGTTGCTTGACTCAGGTTCTGTGCCTGTGACTCCCGGGGTAGTGAATTACGGTGATCGGTCAACTCTTGGGTAGCCATGGGCCTCTCTTGTTTGACCTCGGTGGGAACAGGTATCTGTGACCCCGTAGCAACCTTAGTAGGAGGCAGTGTAACACGACGTCGCATCTAACAGCATTAGCTAAAAAAGTCAAGACAAAACAAGACATGATATCGCGAACTTACTGGTGATGTGGGACTTCCAATCGCGGACTTTAAGACTGCGCCGTCCGCGTCAGGTTCGTCTGAGCCGTGCGAAGGCTCGCTCTTCGATTGATTACGCCGAGAATAGTACGGACGCTTGTACTCGACATGTTGATTCTCTACAGCATCTTGCTCAGCTGTACTGGCCTTAGATGTATTTGCAACTGTGGCGGGGGCTCGAAAGATCAGCAAAGCTCCAGAAACTGAACTTGTGAACTCACACTCCGTGTTTTCACCAGCATCACCACGACGTGTACGTTTATTCTTCAGGGCACGATCAACTGCTGCAATAAAGGCTTGCTTCTTTTCGTCAGAAGCGGCACCTCGTGGTACCACATGATTGTTGCCGTAAGCAATCCGGCTTCCCTATGGTCGGCTAGCAATTACTGGCTTCTGCTTGGCCTGTTCCTCTTGTTCGGCAACCTCGTCAGACCACTGTCGGCTAGTTTGCGAACTTACGTTCATCGCCTCGTCTTCAGCAGTAGACCTGGTCGATGCATCGGAAGTCTCGGTCGCCATCGTCTTGGCCTTAGCCAGTGTTCTGGGAGTAAATGTAGCGGCGACAGGATTCAAACGGTTTCCCTGCAAATAAGAGGTTAGAATCACCAAAGACTAATTTTCTTCGGCTGAAACTACCTCTCGCTTTTGCGTTGGGGTACCGATGGCTTGATCTCCATTGTCATGGGCCGCAGACGATGTTCCTTGTTCACTAGCGGCTGTTGCAGGCTTGTTGACCTTTGACAGTTCGGTCCTGGTCTGTTCCGAGGATAGGTCGTTAACGAATCCTGCCTGACCAGATGAGGCATCCTTGTCTTCATCCTTGGATCGCACAAAGACTTGCTTTGACCAAAGATCCGCATATCTTCCTCCAGCCACGATGAGTTCGTCATGGTCACCCTGCTCAAGGATTTCTCCATTCTCGACCACAATGATCCGGTCGGCGTTCATGATTGTAGATAAACGGTGCCTTCTTTTGTCAGCATACGATTAGAATAGAAAATGTGGCAAAAGCTTACGCAACGATAAAGGTAGTTCGACCCTCGCATAGTCGCCTGAAAGACACCTGGATTTGCTGCTCGGTGTCCGTGTCTACCGCGCTAGTAGCTTCGTCAAGAAGAACAATGTCCGGTTTCTTGAGCATCGCTCGAGCTATCGCAATTCGCTGAAGCTCGCCGCCAGACAGTTTTCTAACAAGTCAGTGCACGATTCACTTCTTGGGTCAGCCTTGACTTACACGCCGCGTTCTCCAACACGCGTCCTGTATCCTGCTGAGAGTTAGTTTCCATTCGATTGGTGAATAATGAAGGCTGTCTTACCATGGGTGAAACCTTTGATCTTATCATGAATGCATGCCGCTTTGCAGGCGTCATACACTTCTTCGTCGCTTGCGGTGATTCTCCCATATCGTACATTGTTCATGATTGTGTCATCAAACAAGATCGGGTTTTGAGGAACAACTCCAATACGATCGCGAAGACTAAGATGTCAGCAGGAAGCAGTAGTTGATATCGGGTAATATCTTACCTGAACAAATCAACGTCTCTTATGTCCTGGCCATCGATGCAGATTCGACCATCACCCACGTCGTAGAACCGATCTAACAATTTGATAAGAGTTGATTTTCCTGCTCCTGTGGCCCCAACAAACGCAACAGTTTGTCCGGCAGGAACATGGAAGCTAACATCCTTGATGATGCCCTTCTTCTTGTCATAACTGAAAGATACCTTCTCAAAATCGACTTCACCAGCAACAAATTTCAGCGGCCTGGCCCCCTTTTGGTTCTCGACCGATGGCTGGGTTCTCATGATGTCCAACAGGCGTTCAGCATCGATGAAGTCGTCGCTAACGTTCTTCCCCAACTTTGCAAAGAATTGAAGTGGCGACGTCAACTGTGCCCAATACATCAGGAGCATTGCAAACTGCCCAGGGGTGGCATGACCGGCTTTGATGCGGTATACAGCCAGGAACGCACTTGCGAGAAGACCAGATGTAAGGACCAGAGTCTGAAACCCAATAGAGATATACCACCCGAGCACATATTGCTGCTCTCTAAGCCAACGGTTGGTGACTGCATTGGCGTGTCGGTTATCCTCATAGCCAATCTGGTTGAAGGCACTGACGGTCTGCCATCCGAGAAAACCGGATTGGCGTACATAGTGTTCCTCATATAGTGCATTGACACGATTTCGACTGGCCACCTTCGAATTGGCCACAAGTCTACTGGCAATAAGAAGAAAGAATACACCGGTAGCCACCGTAATAAGACCTTCGTATGGGCCAAAGGTGATGGAAAGATAGACAATTGCCACGCCCATGTCGATAAGCATAGGAACAGCATAAAGCAAAACATTCTCAACGACGTTGGAAACTGCGCTGCCTCCGTAAATTGCCATCATCATATCCGAAGAGCTCTTTGAATCGTGGAAATCCGCGGAGAGGTGCATCATGTGAGAGTAAGCCGCTCGTGTCAATGCATCATGGGAGTAGTATTTGACAGGAACCCATAGCCACTGGCGAACAAGCTCAATGCCTGATTCTGACGCGGCCAGACGAAGCGCTGCAAATATGATGACTGCTATCCAAGGATTGCTAGTACTGGATCCATTCAGACTGTCCATAATAATACCAGTCTGACGGGGGATCAGAAGATGAAGGGCGTTGGATGCGAACAGGCAAAGGCATACAGCTGCAGCACGTAGCTGCAAACCAAGATTACCAACAGGCCAGACATATGGGAAGAGAACCTTGATAAAAGTTAGCAAGGTGCTTTGAAGGAGATCGATAATTTTTTTTCCGGAGGAGAGGGCTGGTGTGGGAAGTTGTGCAAACATCAATCTCATACCTTAAAACCCTTCGCGTACTCAAACCAATTACCACCGCCTTCTTCAAGCCTTTTTTGCATAGCCTCCTTGGCCTCTCTCTCTCGGCGTTCCCAGCTGTATTCCGGAGTTTCCTCGTCTTCTTCCTCGGCCTGAAGCGCTGAACCATACCCAGACTCCTGACTAGTTGGAGTACTGGGTGAAGTGATTGTGACTTTGGGCAATAGTGGTTCTCGTTCTTCATCTGATTCTGTTGGTACTGATGTACCGATAGTGAACAGACTTATGAGAGACAGGAAAGAAAGACATCGGACAACAACGCTTATGATGTTGAGAATGCTGAAGATGTTGAGTGGAGAGAACAATCCCATGTTTGCAGACAATGCCGTGACCATAACGTCTAGAGATAACCCGATTACCCATGAACCGACAAAGGGGTAGAAGGGTCCATATTCGACGTCAAGACAATGGCTGAGCTGGATCCCAAAAGCGAGGATACATGCCAGATGCCCAATGATGATGTGATCTTCAGTTGGCCATTCTCGGGAAAGAGCGGCGTGTATGCCAAGTAGCGACAGTTGGGCGACGTATGTCAGAATACATAAGAGGTAGAGAAAAAGTATGAAACTCCCGTTGGGGGATTTCTTTTTGCGATCATTCTTTTCAGATGAGTGGGCTGTACAAGCCGAGACAAGGGAGGCGAAGAAAAAGTAAGTGAAAACGAGAGCTGGATACAAGTAGTACAGGATCACCCAGGTGGTTTCTACCGGCGAGGCAGTCGCCATGATCCCCAAGTTTGGATCGTGCATCTATTCCGATTTGGGAGTTGTAGGATGGCTGGTGTTGACCAAGAGGCTGATGGGATAGGATCCTAGTCGAACAGTGGTGATAGAGGAATGTAAAAGACCAAAAGTAGTCAAAAGGTCAAAAAGAGTGTGTGCTCTGTTTTGAAACGAAAGAAAGCGGCAAAAGCGAAAGAAAGAAAACCGTCCTCTCAATCTACTGTACCAAAGACTGTACTCACCGGTCGTTACCCGATGTGTGATAGCGATGGCGAGAGCGGACGTTGAAGGTGAATAGAGCGAAGATGAAAAAGTCCAAAGGTCCAGTCCCAGGTCGAGACCTGACGATCACGAAAATGCGGTGGAACGTGACTAACAGGGTCTTGCCTGTTGCGCCGTGGAATTTGCTTTTGTGATGCCTCTTTCCTCAATCAAATAAATGCTGCTGCTGTGTGTCTTTGGGAGGAAGGAAGGTAGTTCAGCTCGGCTCCTGCTTGCGGCTGCAATTGTCTTGGGTTGGTTGGTATGCGGGAAGGTGCGGTCTGATGTTGATCTGTGTCCAGGAGATAGTCGTCAGCAGTGACAAAGTCCGCTCCCTCACGCGCTTTGTTGTTGCTGAATCTTAGGTAGCTTTTACTCAATTCCTTCGAACAGTGTGCAGCAAGACTCTCATCTCAATACTCGCTGGCAACAAATCGAGCCACAAGACCAAATCGATAGGACTCGTTTGGTAGGCGCCTGCCTCACCTCAACTTTGGCAGATACCCGAATTATTCCTAGGCGGTTTCCACTTCGTGTCGGGTGGGAGAACAAGAGATAGTTCTGGAGGAAAGATAGAGCAAAGAAACTTGTGTCTCAATACGGATACTTGCGTGTCAATTTGGCAGTGGTCGTTACTGTACGGGCGGCGTTGGGGATTTGTTATGAGGTACGTTAGGCCAGCGAAGTAGGGTGATACTTGTTCACAACACCCCGCTAACTTTAGAATAGGTAGCCAAGACAACGGACTTCTTTCAATGGATACTTTAAGTGCAATGATGAGAAACTTGAAGGTTGAAGTTGGAAGAACCACTCAGAATCAGTTGCAAATCCAGAACAAACTTTCTGGTGCCTATACTTCCCAAAGGGGGGAGACCTCTCCAACCCGCGACAGGGGTGCTGAGTCGGTACATACGAAGCCATCCATACTCCATGGATGTCCACTCTCTGGTCATACTCGCCAGCTCACGCGCCTTGCAATTATTGATTGGTGCAAAGCCGGCTTCCGATGTTTTGGACCGCCTTGCAAAACCGAACCCCCTGAAATTGTGGTCGGGAGAAGACGTTGCAGGGCAATGTCATGCCGTCACCGCTGAATAACCGACTGATGGGGAGATCGCTAATTCCCTGCAGCTAGCTTTAATCCTAGCCCCAGCTGAGGCTCAACCTACCTAGTTCCAATGGATCCTTCAGTCTCATGTCTAACAAATTCTCTCCACCTCTTACCGCTTCAAATCCATATCAACCCCATGCCTTCGACTTGGCTGCTATCTCTCTCATCTCCGTTCCATCCCTTGCTTCTTTAAAGAAACACAAAAGATCCGTCAAGTGAGCATGGAAGATGTCGACTGCAACCCTTCCAAAAGAGAACAGGCCATGATCAGCATGGTTTACAATTTTACTCAGCGATAGATATTTATTGCTGCCTCGACTCAAGGCCAACAGACACAAATATCACGCTTTTAGCCAATAACTTTGGTTGGCAGATTTCAAGTCCCAGGTCCATTCATCTCACGTCAACATGGACCGTCGCAGCGTCCATTTTAAAGCCATGGCTCACCTACTTGTAAGCCACGACCTTACTACGCTCACGAGTCCATTATCCACATAGCATAGCTATGCAACCGGATTGTGTCAAGGACAATCATGCTCTAGATTGCCTCTTCTGTACGAGGCCATGACTTGCAGGTTGACCGTGACAACGGACGATCTGGCCAGTCGCCCCAGTGGGTCACTCTTATACCATCACCATATTGGGTATGTTCCATTGTCATGCAGCTTCGATTAGCTGCAGGGGCAACATGAGATCTGGGATCACCCCACACTGCGATCTTAGGTGGCAGGTTCAGCGATCCACCTTGAGTAAAGGCAATTAATATGGCCTGCGAGTCTTAATCATCTCCTGTCAACACTCATGTTTCAAGACCTGAGCTACTGCGTCATGGGTGGCTTCAATTCTCAATTTGAAAGCAATACCGTGTCCGGTAGCCGAGAATCACCATGCCCACTTTGCACTGAATGCTAGGGTATTTGACTTCTGAACGCCGTTGTCAAGTCACAGCAGTCGTTTGTTGCATAAGGGACGACCAAGTAATGGCAAACTCATGAGAGCCGATGAGATGACCCTGCTTGTATTCGAAATCGAGCTTAGTGCTCTGCGTTTTTGAGTTGTCTGACAGAAAATAACAACACTGGCTAAATGATTTAGAAAACGCTTGCAACCTCCCAAATAACGCCAGGATCTATCGTCCTTTTTCTCCCTCCGGGAAAACGTTGTTTTCTCGACGTCTTCAACTTGTCCCTCGCGAAGCAGCTGGGCTGGTGATACCAATTCCCAACACCAGAACGTCACGATATCATCTTCAGAATCCCCAGGAAGGGTTCCAGTTAACTCCGTCAAAGCGCTGGGGTTGGGTTCCCATGCCTGCAAATACCTCGGGTTCGTGATGATGAAGCGGTGGCATGCTGGCAAGTGATTGGCCATGCATATGGATCGATGCCTTGCTATAAAGATCCCCTGCCATATCAAACATGTCCTCTGCCACCTCTGGCGGAGAAGCATGACCAGAGTGGAAGGGCTGAGGCCAGGTTGGGGATACTCCTTCAAATTCCGGGGTAGGCACACCCAGTGAGTCTGTAGGACTGGCACCGCTATGGCATGAGCCTCGCCGATATGGACTCATGGAGTCATCATCAGGCTGGAGCGTGGAAGGGCAGGCGACAAGGCCGTCAACCGTCTTCTTAGCTTCGTTGGAGATATATTTCTGAATAAGGACGCAGTTGCAGTCCGTGTGTTGCAATAGCTGTGTCTTGAGGTGATAGATTTCAGCAGTAAGCGAGTCAAAACACGAGGATAGATATCTGTTTTGGTCTTCCATGGCTTGTTCCTGAGAAGCAAGGGCAGAAGCTTCGTCTCGTTTTCTAAGGCGACATTTGGTGGCAGCTATTCTGTTGCGCTCTAGAATGCGTCGACGTCGTGGGTCTCTGGGGAGGTCCTCTTCGTCAAGCTCTATTTGCTGACGAGCTTTACTTGATTCCTTGGGGGCTCCTTTAGGCTTGCGACCACGTTTCTTCTGCTTCGGTGATCCTGGTACAGCGGCTAGGCCATTTGTTTCGTCCGAGGTGCTTATACTCAGCTGGGACTGCTTTCGAGATCGGGGCCGACGAGAAGGCTTGTGTTCAGCCTCATTACCGGGCATCACAGCTAATGAAGGTGGAAAGTCATTGGATACAATTGGTGCTGTGTTGTAGTGGGCTGGTGCTTGCACAATGCCAAAAGCCATTTCTTGAGGGAGGGGAGAGCCTCCTATGGCTTCTTCGAAGAAGGAAGGGCCCTGGACCTGACCGAAAAATGGCTGGTATGCGACATTGCCTCGACTCGTTGGCGATGGTGTTCTAGTGAAATATGGAGAGGGTGTCATGATATATCCTGGTGATGGAGTTGTCGTCACAATGTTCATCGGGTTACCAAATGGAAGATCCATTGTGTGGGGATAAGGGTGTACAAAGGCAGCCATCGCAAGAACTGTCTGTTTGATCAGATAGACCGAAGCTGATACTTCTATCAGATTGTCTCACAAGGTTTTGCCAAGGTTGTATTGGGCAAGTGTTTTCGAGCCTTGTCTGTTGGGAAGTGTGGTTGGCACAGATAGCTGCGGACACAGCGAGAACGAAGAGCAAGATCGCTATTGAGTATCGGTACAGAGACACAGAAGGAGGATGGCAGAATTGTGATGAGATTGGCGATTCGAGGCGGGGGCTTTCACGGAATATAAGACGGACTTGCTTTGAACTGTTGGATTACTAGTTCGAAACAGCCTGATCTAGCCCACTGCAACGAATCCCAACTACACACGGCAGTCCTCAACCCAGTCAGCCACCGTAACGAGGCATCGGGATCAGTAGATCAGGGCTAGGCTCGATAAGCGGAGACGGCATAATCCTGGCCAGACCGTGAGGGGGAAATAAACTTTCGATCAGAGTGGAAGCACTTAAGCAATTGCCCACCATTGCTTCTGCAAAACACCAGGGTCAGCACAAAGCCCCTCAAATTATCGGGCCATGAGACAGCTTTGGTATTATTGGCCCGGGCTCTTTTCCGATATTGCTCTCGACCCAGATCTCCACAGAGATACTGAGAGCTTCGCAGCAGTTCCATCCAGTGGCTTTTACACACCTTCGCTTAACATGTCTATCAACACGAAAGCGAACAAGGGGGTGTTCAAAGTCCTGGGAATTCCCATGCTTTCTAATTTGCAATCGAGTACGTTCCATGCCTAGATGGACTTCTACTGAACGTGGTACCCAAAAGCAGTAACGGTGGCGTTTGAATTATCTAACTCCTAGCGAACGGATGGATATCATATAATCATTCCAAGGCGAGACTCGACCAGATCCCAATAGTTTCGGCCACGAAGAAAGACTGCATTAATTTGCATGTCCTAGGCCTAGCAAGCTTGGAATATGTCTGCATCAATTCTTTGCATCTGCGCTCTCAACATAGCGTAGCAGCGCCTCTTCGTCGAAGCTGATGTGGCACAGTTGAAGCTGGGCAGGGAACAGTTGGCTCCGCCAAACCTCTATTGGAAGCGTCGGCATCGGCACCGTAAACCTAGGATTATTGGGGAGCATTGGCACGAATGCCGATACGCATTTTGACCTATTCTGCAAGTTGGCCGGGGCAAATGTCACTTCTTCCACAGCAACACGCAGCGGGTGTTGCGTTGCGTTGCGTTGCGTTGGGTATGCGTAACAAGCCGGCGGCGGCCGAGCTCAAGCGATTTTGAAGTTGGTCACCTCTCGGCCGAGGAGACGACGGTAGTGAACAAGTACACAACCTAAACAAATATTGACCCGACGATATCGCAAGGACCCCAGGTCCGGCTCATCTCTTCCTGCATCCGAGATGGATGGGTATTGTAATTAGACCGGGGACTAAGCTCGGACCTAGTCGACCAGGAACTTCAAACCTCGAATCCGGGTCAAGAGCTAGCAAAACATCAACGCTTTTCTTAGCTGGAACTGTCTAGGTTGGCTGGCTGGACGAACTGGAAAGTGATGAGCTAGTGGACCAGCAAGCCTATGTACTGACGGCAAAGATACGCTAAAGAACCAACTTGAGGTGCAGCGAGCCTTTGTGTGGCATAGTGCAGGCAACTCTGTGGCTCAGTCACGACAACGGTCAACTTATGACTGGAAGGAAGAAACACAATTGGGCGCAATTGGCGATCGTGCTTGACACTCATCAAATCCTTGGATTACTGTACATGCTGTCGACATAACATTGCAGGTGGAGTATCCGACGAGGTCATAGCACAAGCCGACGTTGGGCGGATTGGAGCCTCACAACACGGACTCCGATGCTGGCTAGCAATTTGGACAGGGATGAAAAGGCGAACCGACTTACCAAGTTGATCTTGATGAATGTGCCTGACCATTCAATACGGTACATACAGTACGGCACTGGCGCCACCGTTAAGTAACGAGGTGCGCCTGCGTGCATATGGGGGATTAAGGTTGGGCGTTGGTGATGACGCCTCGCGCGCCATTGGTCGAGATCTTGTTTTCCTGCTCAGCCAGAGAAGCAAACCAAACAACGTCTGCTACAGTAGGTAGCCAGGTTCCTGGGAGCTGGTGCTGGGCTGGACGGCCGTTTTGATCCACAACGTGCTTCTGAAACCTCCCTCAACTCTTGGGTCCGAAACCCCGATCCTTCCCTCAAGTGGTTTTCCGAGGCATGTCCAGTTCGCAGACAGGCGAATGCCAGGCTTGTAGGATTTTCGCCTGTACTACACGGCGCTTCACCTCACGATATCAACGTCGAATAAAGGTTAGTTAAAGAGCACTCAGCAATAAAGAAATCCTGAGGGCGAGAACTAGCCAATTGGTCTTTACTCTGGCAGTGGCCTTTGGCTCTTGCATTTCAGGTAGCCACACTTCGGTGGTCAGCCTGCAGCCGTCTCTGTGATGCAACTCTCGGGATTTGCCTCATTGAAGCAACGGAGCTTCCTTCTACAGGCGACCTCCTGTCTGCAGTTCCAACTACTACGGTTCTTACCCTACCCTACCTGTATACAGACATTAGTGACTTGGCTCCCAGGTTGACAGCACTTAGTCTAACCGGTTAGCCAGACTCTTGGATCCAAGCCCACTTCGTGTTTCCGGATTTCCTGGCGCCAACGTCGATATCTATGCCTGTTGGGGAATAGAGTCACAAATTTGGAGATTTTGGTTTGCTTGCAATTTGGAGAGGAATCGTTCCCGGAGCATAACAAACAACGGGCGGGGAGCTCCGACAAAACTCTATGTCCAGAAGTCGCTAGGTGCAGCTTAGCAACAGAAACTACCTAGACCAAGAACATCCATCCAACCACTTACAGATTATGCTCAACGGGCAGTCGCTACCCAGAAAACCCGACATCTCCGCGCACGGCTTCGTGATGCCGTTCCAGTGATCCCTCCTCCAGCACCACCACCAGCAACTTCAACCATTGTCAAGCGTAAGCACGCCGAACCCCGCTCCAGGATGCAACATCAAGAAAAACTCCGCAAAGGATCGGAGAAGAATCGACAACGGTCTAAGACCACTCGGTAGTCTCGATTCAGAAAAGCAAGGTTGACACACATGTCCCCAACGCCCGTGACTCTACCATGCCCGACCCTGGATTACGCCTCAATTACTACTGTACTCCAAGGGACTAGACTGAAACTGAGTCAAAAGCTAAGATCGTTTCTTCCACTTCTTGTATACTCATTCATCTAAGATCGTCCATCACGTTGATATTCTCCGTAGGGCAGGCACACATTATTAGACGCGGCCCAATTTCCCGACCGGATCACAATATCAAAACTGGACAAAGACGAAGCAAGCGGGGTCCCTGAACGCTAAGGACAACTTCCTAGGACTGCGATCGTCAATGAGCCAACAGCTACGTCTCTTCCCACTGCTGTCTGTTCTGGAGACAAGAAGCAACTTGCTACGGTGCTGCCCGCTGTCGATTTCACTGCTTGCATGAGGGGGTCCCCTTATAGAGAGAACGTGTCCTCTTTTCCTAGGACAAGCCTTATGGACTCACGTCGAGACCCTATCTTACTGAGAAAGGAAACTTTGCGCTACTGTCGACCGTAAGAAATATCCGAGGCCGCAAAGCTGCAGAGAGGCTAAGATGGGTTAGCCAGACGAAGAGATTCAAGGTGGATTGCACCTCAAGCGCACGGATCACGTCCCGCAGGAAGATTAGCTTTGGTCCTTGCAAATCCCCAACGGTGCGCCATCCACAGTTCAAGTCGTTCCTGAAATCATGAAGAGGGTGGCTCCTCTTTGTCTTTGTCAAAGTGGGATTGGTGTGCGAATAACCCCTCTTTGTAACAAGGTTTGACGGGCTGACAAGTGCTGGGTCAACATCCATTTTCATTCATGTGATGGCACCTGTCACCTCTCGTGGGCTCGATGCCTTTGACATCACACCCTCGTGAGACCGTTTCCTGGGGCGAGGGAATGAACTGCAAGATGCGCATACAGCTCGCGTCACAAGTCGAAGAAATCGTCCAAGCAATCGGCGATGGTTTGATCTGATCGCCAACCCTGTTCTCAGCCTCAATGCTATTCTGATAAGGTCAACTTATCCTTGCGCGACACCGTATATGGACGAATCAATCTTCCAACTGCACGATCATTGAAACGGAAGCGTCTCTTGCAATGACAATGCGTGAGCGTGAGGTGAGGAAATTGTTACGGTGCAGTCAGAAGAGCTCCAACTACATAATAGATGATACCTCTTTGGGGATAGCCCATCGATCTACGCTATCCGCCTGTCCCTTGTTGTGTGTTCACTTGGGTTAATATTTCGTTATGAAAATGACCGGCCTGTGGCCGCGACTTACGCGCAATTCAACATCCATGCGATGCTTCATTACTGTGCTCTAGCAATTGTTTCAATGACATCCTATCCTGGCCCACATCACCATGTTTCCCCTCAGCACTACTGCACTCAACATCACAATTTCAAATTCCCGGCCACACAGTTCTTGACCATCGTCCTTGAGTCGTCTTCGCATGGGTTGTGTCGTTTAAACAGCCTTGTGGCAGGTTTTACCTGATTGGGCAATCTGAAGAGACAACCACGTTCAGATCTAAGCCATTCCATAGCCTGCAAGACAGACAGGAGGCAATGCCAGCTTAGGCAGGCGGCACTAGATCTGTAGCCGTTCATCTAGCTGCTAGGTCTGATGGCTAAGATACAGGCGCCAGGATTATCGCATGCATTTTACAAGATCAAAGGGGTATCATAGACATGGAGTATCCGTAGCTCCGCATCAGTTCGCGTCCGAGCGTCGCTTCATATCAGAAATGGTCTGATTCCGACATTGATAGAACGCCCGTTTCGTTCGGCAGTTACACTAACGAACAGCTTATTTTCTATCTTAAACTAACGATCCTACGAGGGGCTATACGCGGATATAAGGTCGCGCATCGACATGCGGACATGGGTTGTCAAATCACAACTATATATCCACGCAGCCAAGGGCCCACGGCCGGGCCTATTAGAACATGAGAGATTTCTGCAATGGATGCGTTTTATCTGTTCGCTTAATATCCATACTAGCTGCACAGAGTGGGCATTGTCTGTGGCGCCAAGTCCAGGCCTCTTGTGGCTGGCTGGCTGGCTGGCGGCCGATGTTGAGAGGAGTGACATATAAATCCACCAAGAAATGTACAAGATTCAAAAGGGTTAATCAAGCAAGTCGTTGTAACTATTCTAGTCTGGATATATGGAGCTGTTCATTTCACCGAGCTGGTCAAGTACAGTAGGAGGTCAAAGAGGTGGGACATTGATGAATTCCGCCAATCATATGATCCGGAGTTACGATTATAGATTCCTGCGGGATCAGTACCCGATGGCCTGCAGGATGTCGACAAGGGAAACGTGCTTGAGCCTTGACGTACCCATGTGTGTTGTCCTTTTGACTGAGGATCAACAGATCTTCCAAAGCAGGGAGCTTAGCTTGGATGATCTACAGCACGAGCGAATGTCAGATACATACACAACACCAGCAATCGTTGGATGTGCTCAGGGTACTGTATATAGATATCATTGACAGGGGTACTGTACTGTAGTGCCGTGATCCGCGACATGGGTGGCTTGGACGTGCCGACGAACGACAAGTGCAAGCGCTCCTTGGGTGAACCTACTAACTCTAGTTTCTATGTGTGTCACTCAATTGACTTTGGCTATGAAACAGTTTGTCTCTCATGCTTGGATATTAATTAAACGTGTTTCAAATGCCTCAGAGATGACGGGATCTGAACCCTTCTGTACTCTCTATGTCAATACTATACGCCCGTGGAAACGCTCTGTTCATGGCTGCAAAATTGCAAGGGTCGTACGGATACCCAGGAACTCATCATCACAGTTCCCTGCTGTATGCTGGCGTTTTGACGCATGCAGAGGCCTCCTCAGCTTTGCGCATCGGTTGATGCCTGACTTGTCAGATATAGCCAGGATCTCTGCCCAGAACTAATCTACTCTAGGCATTGAACGACTCCTTCTCTTATCTGGCTATGACTTGCTTGCTTGGTGGATCAGATCCCTGCTTACGACTTCATCACAAGCTGATCTTGCATATCTCAAAGGGGGCAATGAACGGCTAAACATAATACTACTACCAAGAGAGCTTCAATTGAGGTCAATCACGCTTCTAAAAGACTGCATACATAATATAATATAATATATATATTACAAAAAATACCAGGGCTTCTTCTGTTGATTAGTGCCTCTTCATCATAAGTAAGGAGAATTAGTAGCTGTTGCTACCTATGTATGTATGCTTAGGTTGACCTCAAGCTTGATACTCTATCCCCTTCGGCCGTGTTCAATAGACTTCCATCCTCAGGCAGGACCCGAATCTTACTATCGCGTTGCATTGGTTGGAAGTACCGAGGGTCCGGTGTATCCGATACAGTATCTAGCCCGACCATCTCCGAATGTTGGCCATAATACTTGCCTAATCAGCCAGTTTCAGCACGCCACATTTGGACCGGATATGCTAATGGAGATATCCTCAGGCCTGCACATCCGAGTGTTATGACAATCTCGCATGGACATCTGTTTTCCGCTTTGACATGTTGGTTGATCAGCTAGCAGGGTTAGCACGTTAAACTTGGATGAGATGAACGAGCGACGATTTCCTCACTTATGACAGAATATCCCTCTTATATTCCTTTCCAGGGAATAACTCTCTAGAGGCTTCCTTCTCTGGTCTATTGAATCTTAATTTCCAAAGCCGTAGCTAGTTTCTCAGCCCTGCTAGGGCTAGGACGACGATGATACAAAAATAGCACTCAGATATTAGAGACCGCCTTTAGGAAAAAGACAATACTGTCAGTAAGCGGGCACTCTCAATACTTGTTTTCTGTATCTTATTTAGGGCGAGTTGCACTGACGTTTAAGCGAACATTATCAAAATCCCTTTGCTCGAGCGCCTGCTCGTGCTTACTTGTCACTCCGTATTCACAGCCACAGATTGATAGATTTTAAAAGTTCCAGTAGTAGAGAATGTACACGGTTCAGTTTTGAGTTTGGTGTTTTGTAGTAAAATATTTGGTTTGCTCGGTTCTTCGAGAGTGAGGTGATGGCGGTGGTGACAAGACTCCATCCGTGTAACCACTGTCTCGTTGCTTTCGACACTTGCACAACAGCGATATCCCATATTACGCATTATTTCCTGTATATCCTTTCTAATCATAGCCCTGCAAAGTGCAAGTTTGCAGTGTCTTTCTTGTGTTGTCGGGCACGTTCTGTCGATAACAAGATATGAGGGTTCCTGAATCGAGTATCACTACTATGATTTACCACTCGACAAGAAACATCTCCTCTATCATACAATAATATATATTACTTGTATTCCCCAGAGACTTCATTCGACAGTTACAGTCTTTGTGATTCCAACCTGAGCGACTGGCTATCTAGTCGTGAAAGACACAAAGCTGGTCTGTCCTGGTTCCAGTGTTGATTTGTAAAGCTAAGAAATATTGAATAGGTATTCACGAGGACTCATTCTATAAAACGAACTTTTCCAACAGCGTACGGACTATTCTTTGTGTATTGTCAGTTTCTTTACCAAATGTTGTCATGATGGTTGACTTGACTTATCACCACAAACCTACAACATGGTGGGTTTTATTGAACATGCTGGAGTACAACGCTTGACAGGACTTTCTATGATAGTGAAGTTACTTGTTTATCTTTTAATGTGAGCAGTACTAAAATCCTAGACTATTACTGAGTCAATGCAAGACATGCTATTTGATACTATCACAAGAGTCCGAAATGGTGAGGGTATAGGTTAGGTTGACACGGAACTTGGTTAACAATCAGCGCATTAGGATGAGTCCTTCTTACACTTACATTTCATAAATATTACGTGTATTGTGTCGAATATTATGCTTTTCGTTGATTACTGATAGTACTTGTCATGGAGCCGGAAAGCGGTTTGCCCGTCAAGGTCGTCATGAGCACGTCGTCAGGGTGGTATCCTTTCAAAGTATTACCAAGACATGATGCCCGCAGAAGCATACGATGGAGATCCTGAACAGAACCAAGCAACCATGGATATCTTTCACAAGAATTCTAGGCGCGGTGGTCATTCAGCAGGCGTAAAAGCAAAGAATGAAGTTGATAAAAGACGTTGTATGTACGCTGCACAATGATCAAATAATCGGTGAGCCTTGCCAAAAACAGCAATTTACCAACATCGAGCCTCTCCGGGACTAACCAGATAGACTCAAGAGCTGGCGTCTTGGCGTAACGAAACTTTTCCAGCGCCAACCTCCACTCGGGCAGAATTACCACGAGAGCGAAGTTTTAGAAGCGAGAGAAGGATTGTTGGTGCTGGGGCTGAAATCTTAGCGAGGGGTGACACTGAAGATTTCCGTTCCTGGCGATAACTTTGTTGTAGTTTCTAAGATTTTTGGTAGTTTTGTGACGAGCTATAGTACATGTACTTTGACAGTTGAACTTCCCCAGATCATCATCGTTTGGTGATGCTGACCACTTCTAGAGCATGACGCACATTTGGGGAAGGATGCAGGAAACCAAGCTGACACCTCTGATGAAGAGGGGCCTGATTGGTGAGAATACATATGCTTTACTACCTAGCCATAGCATAGTTCAAAATCACGATGATAACAAATTTGACCAAGACAGCTTTTCGAACATTGTAAATACAGTACAAGAGAGCTTCTAGACCGCTCAGCCTCATCTTCCCCTGTTTAAGCTGGGACTTTTCAAGAGCAGCTGATGTATGTCAGGTGATGCTATCGTCGCCAGGGTCAGGGTATTTCCGCTCCTGTTCTGTTCAGGGTCCTTAGAGATATATGCGAATATCCTATTCAGGGCCTCATAAGAAACTATCGCCGAAACCTCCCAGGGCATTGAGAGCCGGCAAAGTTACCGGTCGATTCCCCGCGTGACGTAGAAAGAAATTAGCAACATGGAGTAAACGTGGGATATTTGAGGTAAATATCTGTGACATCTCCACTGCTTGAACCATGATGCTATTCCAGGGTATCGTCGTTTTCCAGCGTTAGCTACAGCCGGCGGATCTAACTACAAAGAGTAGAGAACTGGAGTGATCAGGGTCGTTAGTGGCGATTTTCCGGCGGAGCTAACTCGATACAGGCCTCTCGACTTAGAAACTCTGCCCGTAGAGATCCACCGTTCTCCAGATCTCGACCAAGTCTCAACCATATTGAGACCAAGTCGACGAGAGTTGCAAAACAAAACACCCACTCAGGTGACGCAGATTGGTCATGACCCAGACTTTGTACCTTCAACAATGCGGGGAAGACGAGAATGGAAAGAAGAAAAGAAGGAAATGAGAGCAGGAAGTAGCGATGGTGTGTGGGCAAATAAATCTTCTCGATATTTGATCAACTACATAAGAACAACGTTTTCACAACCTCCAGATCCAATTCCCTAAGCTCATCATCCTCATCCTCTCTCTTCTTGTCACATCAACACTTTAAATAACATCAAAGATCCTTGACTTCATTCACACAAGAAACTCCATCTTTCTCACTTCCACTTACACACTTCACATACTTCACAATGGCCCCCGGCGCTGTCGTCGACGACTTCTCCAGCCACGATGGCCAGGCCCTCGAGGCTCTCTCCGACAAGATCGACGATGTCAACGTGATCAAGTACGATGAGTCCTCCAAGTTCGATAAGGAGAAGGACAAGAACACCTTCCGCCAATATGCCGACGCTACCGACCGCGTCAAGAACTTCTACCGTGAGCAACATCACAAGCAGACCGTCGCTTACAACCTTGCTGCCCGCAACCGCTTTTACAACGCCTCTCGTCCTCGCGCTGAGATGACCATCTGGGAGGCCATGGAGAAGCTTAACACTCTTGTCGACGAGTCCGACCCCGATACTTCTCTCTCTCAGATCCAGCATCTTCTCCAGTCTGCTGAGGCTATTCGCCGTGACGGCAAGCCTCGATGGATGCAGCTCACTGGTCTCATCCACGATCTTGGAAAGCTGATGCTCTTCTTTCCCGAGCTTGAGACTCAGGGTCAGTGGGACGTTGTTGGTGACACATTCCCCGTCGGCTGTGCCTTCTCAGACAAGATCATTTATCCTGACACCTTCGCCGAGGGAAACCCTGATGCTACCAACCCTGACTTCAACACCAAGTTCGGCATCTACTCTCCCAACTGTGGTCTCGACAACATCATGCTCTCTTGGGGCCACGACGAATATCTCTACCATGTCGTCAAGGATCAGTCCACTCTTCCCGACGAGGCTCTTGCCATGATCCGCTACCACTCCTTCTACCCCTGGCACCGAGAGGGTGCTTACCAGCACCTCATGTGCGACAAGGATTGGGAGATGCTCAAGGCTGTCAATGCCTTCAACCCATATGACTTGTACTCCAAGAGCGACGGTGTCCCTGATGCCGAGAAGCTTAAGCCTTACTATATGGAGCTTATTGCTGAGTACTTCCCCGACCCTGTCATCAAGTGGTAAAGGGATGAGAACAAAGAAGAAGAAAACAAAAGCAAAGGAATGATAGACATGAAGGTATAGAGCAATGGCTTAGTTTGTGGGTTTTATTAGCAAGGTTTAATGACTGGGACTTGATATGGGATACAATCGGATAAGGCGAATGGATTAATACATTTTTTATTATGATCAAAATGGTTTTTTTTACCGTTATACATCGTGATCCAATTCAAGAATTGCACTTGTGACAGAGTGTTCACTGAGAAACCACCGTCGTAAGGATAGTACGTGTCTGTCTGAATTGATCAATACCTCTGCCAATTGAAGCATGAAATCCAAGCTGTTGAAAGACGGAGGAATTTGATGTTCATTGTAGATCCCGTGGTATATTATCGATTTGATAGAGGCTGATGTACCGCTTTAGACGTATTAAGAACCATGATAGAAAAATGTTGAAGCTATTCCCGGCCCAGAAAAAGGGTGGAAGTAGTCGCCAGCGCGTGGATGGATTTAGTGAATTGATAAGCACGATAAGAAGAAAAAAAGTTCTGAACGATTTTCTGAAGTTTGATAAGCTAAGCCGAACCATACTAGCGCCATACTGATGTAGCCAATGAAAGCCATCGATGCCACTGAGCTGCCCCTCAGACCCGCTAGAAATTTGGAGGAAAGCACTGAACTGCAGAAAGATTATCTCAGGTCGTCAAGAAATCGCCATCTTTCTTCGACATACACCAACAGCCCATCACAACACCACACCCAGCTTTCAAAATGGGATCCTCGTCTAAGAGAAAGCGCGATCAAGCCGAAGAGTCGGTTCCTGCCGAAACGCCCGCGACTACCGAGGTTGAAAAGTCTACAGAGCCTGCGCAAAAACAAGAGGAAGAGACTTCCTTCGTCGATCTCGGCCTCGACCCCAGGCTGCTACAAGCCATCGCCCAGCAGAAATTCGCGAAGCCAACTCTTGTGCAGCGCAAGGCGATTCCTTTAGCTCTCAATGGACAGGATGTTCTTGCAAAGGCAGACTGTGGCTCTGGAAAGACTGCCGCATATGTTCTTCCTTTGCTTTCAAGCATCCTGAAGCGCAAAGCTGTACGGTTTATCTGATAGCCGAGATACCAAGATCTTGCTAACTCATGTCTTTAGACTGACTCTACAGCTTTCACTACTGGCCTTATCCTCGTTCCCACCCGCGAGCTTGCCGACCAGGTCTCCAAGGCCATCGAACAATTTGCTTCGTTCTGCGCAAAGGACATCAGCACCGTAAAGTTAACCGACAAGGTCTCCAATGCCGTCCAGCGCGCCCTTCTCTCCAACTCCCCCGACATCGTCATCTCGACCCCCGCGACTGCCTGGCACAATATTAACTCCTCCGCTCTCTCAATTGACAAACTCACACACCTAATTCTCGACGAGGCGGATCTTGTTCTTTCCTACGGCTACAGCGAAGACTTGGAGAACTTGTCGCGATCAGTTCCCAAGGGTGTTCAGGTTATGATGATGAGTGCAACTCTTACCGACGAGGTCGATACGCTCAAGGGAATCTTCCGCCGTGACCCTACCTTGTTGGATCTGAAGGAGAAGGAGGCTGAAGGCGAGGGTATCACTCAGTTTGTCGCCAAGTAAGCTGCACAAATCATGGGTCGCAAAAACAGTTACTAACAAAATACTAGGTGTGGTGAGGACGAGAAGTTCCTGCTTGCCTACGTCATCTTCAAGCTCAAGTTGATCAAGGGCAAGTGTATTATCTTCGTTAGCGACATTGACCGATGCTACCGTCTCAAGCTCTTCTTCGAGCAGTTTGGTATTCGAAGCTGTATTCTGAACTCGGAGCTTCCCCTGAACTCGCGAGTCCACGTCGTTGAGGAGTTCAACCGTCATGTGTACGACATCATTATCGCCGCTGATGAGAAGAACGAGATGCTCGGTGACGAGGAAGAGCCTGCTGAGACTGGTGATGCCGAGGACGACACCAAGAAGCAGAACAACGAGGGTGAAGATGAGGAGACGGAAGCAAAGCGACCAAAGAAGAAGGCTAAGAAGTCCAAGGGCGGCGATAAGGAATATGGAGTATCAAGAGGTACGTTGAACCCAGCGCTGGTCCAGGGCTACGCCTCACACGAACCAATACTGACTGACCTCAACAGGTGTCGACTTCAAGAAGGTTTCCGCAGTTATCAACTTCGATCTTCCCACCACAGCATCTGCCTACACACATAGAATAGGACGAACAGCACGAGCTGGCCAGACTGGTATGGCTCTGTCATTCGTGGTTCCCAAGGATCTATACCGAAAGCACATGCCCACATCTACCCCTGCTTGTGAGAATGACGAGAAGGTCATGGCTAGAATCGTCAGGCAGCAGGCTAAGCGCGGTAAGGAGGTGAAGCCATACAACTTCAACATGAAGCAGGTGGATCCCTTCCGATACCGTATGAACGATGCCCTGCGTGCCGTCACCAAGGTTGCCATTCGAGAAGCCCGAACACGAGAACTGCGACAAGAACTGTTGAAGAGTGAGAAGCTCAAGCGGTAAGGATGAACCATAATGCAATTGTACAATGAAGCATACTGACAAATCTACCAGATACTTTGAGGAGAACCCTACTGAACTTACTCACCTTCGTCACGACGGTGAACTCCGAACTGCCAGACAGCAAGCTCACTTGAAACATATTCCCGAGTACCTCCTGCCCAAGGATGGCAAGCAGGCTCTGACAGGAGACATTGGTTTCGTCGCGATGCGAAAAGATAAGAAGGGCAAGGGTAAAAAGGGACGAGGATTCAAGGTCGGCTCAAGGAAGCGAGATCCCCTCAAGACCTTCAAGGCGAGGCGCAAGACAAAATAGACGGACTGGGTAGAGTAATATAGCGATTCTGGTTTTTATTTTTCGATACCTTGATCTTAGTTCAAGACCATCTTTTGCTGCTTCTAATAACTACTCGTCTTTGACTTACATACAGCCTTGTGTCTTGGCATCTGCTGTTCTCGCCGGCAGCCAATTTGTTATCTATGATTCAATGATCGGCCGTTAGACGCTCGAAGTTACCGAAGCTACCTTGAATACTGCCTCGTAGTGTTCATACACTCTGGACAATGAGCTTAGTCATTCATGCACGATGAGCGATCTCTCGGAGACAAGCACAACGTCCGTCCGCTTGTGGGGAGTTCCGCAGAGTATTAGTGTAGCGCTAAACCCATTGTGCTGTGACGATGTATCAAATGCTATTGTATGAGGAGTTCAATGACAAGGAATGTAAAGTCTAAATTGAGTATATAAGGTCATGATGCTTCCAGCTATTTAGCAACATATTCTTGGATAGTATTAAGCTTCCTTTACTGTTCATACACTACGAACCTTCCTACGTTTATTCTGATACTGCACTTACACACATTCATCATACATCATGGCTCCTCCAGCTCAACTTCCCCTTCGCCAACTCACAAACGATGGTCCTAAGATCCCAGCCATTGGCTTTGGTCTCATGGGTATAAGCATTGCATATGGGCCAGCCGAGTATGCACAATCCCTCATTCCTTTGAACCACCCCGAGACTAACACCCCTAGCTCTGATGAAGAACGACTCAAGGTCCTAGACCGCGCATGGGAGCTCGGCTGTACCAATTGGGATACAGCTGATATCTACGGTGATAGTGAAGACCTTGTTGGCAAGTGGTTCAAGCTACATCCCGAGCGTCGTCAGGATATCTTCCTCGCCACCAAGTTTGGGTTGAAGGCAACTAAGAAGGGCATGGTTACTGATTCGAGTCCTGAACATGTGAAGGCGAGTATTGAAAAGAGTTTGAAGAGACTTGGTGTCGAGCAGATTGATCTGTATTACATGCACCGTGTCGGGGAGGATGTGCCTATTGAGAAAACCGTCGAGGCTATGAAGCAGCTCGTTGAGTAAGTTCACCCTCAAATGATCGGATCGAGGAAGAGGCCTAACAACCGTATAGTGAAGGAAAAGTCAAGCACTTGGGTCTATCAGAGATCTCTTCCACAACAGTTCGTCGCGCCTATGCTGTCCATCCAATCACAGCAGTGCAAGTCGAGTACAACCCCTGGACACTCGACATTGAAGGTCCCTTAGGAACACACCTTCTCAAAACATGCCAAGAGCTGGACATCGCTATTTTCGCCTACTCACCTCTTGGTCGCGGCATCCTTACCGGTCGTTATCGCTCTGCGGAGGATTTTGAAGAAGGCGATGTCCGAAAAGATATGAGTCGCTTTCAGGGTGATAACTTTAAGAAGAATCTCCAGATTGTGGATAAGTTTGACGAGTTGGCTAAGAGCAAGGGATACACCACCTCGCAGCTAGCGCTGGCATGGGTTCTGGAGCAAAGCCCAAATGTTTTTGTAATTCCGGGAACTAAGAAGGTCAAGTACCTGGAAGAGAACGTTGGAGCAGCAAAGGTGACCTTGAGCAAGGAGGAGGAACGGGAGCTAAGGAAAGTGGTTGAGGAGGCTCAAGTTGCGGGCGGACGTGACCCCTTCTTTGGTAACTATATGGATACTCCTCCTCTGGAGAAGTGAGCAGTTGAGATAGTGTTCAAAAATGTTTAAAGTCGATGGCACTTTGCTATATTTATCAGGCCTCTATGACAAGTCTAGACGAAGAAGCTTGCCCTTCCAAGTCGTCCCATCTTTGTAATCATGATCTTGAAAGCTGGCCACAATCTGAAAGCCCCTGTCGACGTAATATCTGCCACTGATTAGCGAAGTCCCGAATACGTGAATATGCATCGACCAAGGGGGTGATTAGGGTAACATACTGTACCAATTGTCCATTGCCTCCATCCCAACAGTCGATCCAGATTGTTTTCCAGCCCTTCTCAAGAGCATACTCCTTCACCTTTGCAAGAAGCGCAGCGCCAGCACCTCGGCGTTGATCACCAACTCGGTGATCAGCGACAAGATACTTCAAGAAGACGAAGTTGCCCTTCTCCGACGCTGGTCCGACATGTTCCTTCAAGCTATCTGTTTCTTTGAGATAATCCACAAACTGTTCATCCAGGATCCAGACAAGCCCAACGGACAGAAAAGTCTTTCCATTCTCATCGACACGTCGAGCAAGACTGCTGTCTGCGGTGGACCCTGAACTGGCTTGGTCATCCTCAACCTCGGCAATGAACAATCTTATGGGTTCACCCGTTCCTGTCTTGCGGAAAGTATCTGACTTTGCCACTGTATCGTGAATACGTTGGACAACGCCTTCTTTCTTCGAGAAAGGTTCAGTCCCCCATTGTTCAGAGTTTCCGGTAGCCACCAGATGAGGTATTGTTGAGTCGAATGCGTCAAGAATGAACTGAGCATCGTTCAACGACGCATCAGCATCCCGAATAGAGAATGATTTCGACATGATCTCGATGATGTCCTTATTGGCTTTCAAGCGTTGAATAGACGGGCGAAACGGGGCTATTGTGAATAACTCCGAGCAATAGGCACAAGAGTGTAGATCGTTGAGTTTGCGGCTTTAGAATATGTCAGCAATGCTTCAAGAACCACAACCGATTGCGCTAGCAGGGGTTATTATCCTTGAAGATTCCATGCGGCGTTCCAGAAGAAAAGAGTGTCGACCCTACATAGACAGCTTTTGTTGGTTCGACCGAGAATCTGAAGACCTTTACTTCCCGGGAACCTGCAAGTATCGTACGACTCAAGGCGTCAACAGATAGAGGTAGCTACTGTAGTTAGTGTGGAGACTCGAGATTAAGTATTGAGACAAGATCTGTATTTGTATATTCGCTGTAGATAATCTGGGATATATGCCGAAGTAAAATTTCTTGACTTTCCAAGTTTATGGCAAGATATCCACCTCCCACAAGAAAGGGAATCCCTACTATCCTGCCAACTTGGCATGTCACTTTGCAACAAGTTCAGGGCCTGTTCATCAGGGCCTACGAACAAGATTGACCTGTTCGATGTCTTCCATTGACCGACGTGGTCAAGAAGACGGGCATATACGAGCTATCTGTTTGTTTAGAAATGGATTCTGTAATCTGTGTATTGTCTCTTACGGACCTATGTTTTCACCACAGATGTTGAACAGCAATGATAAGTTTCCTAGTTTTCTCATTGCCAGATCCACAAGTTGATGCCACGCCGGGAAGCGCAAGTACTGGTGTTTTTAGGCCCGGCAACATGACTCGGCGCATACTACATGATACCTAAGCTATCATGTCGCGATGCGAAAATAGTGGGGGCTAGTTGTAGCAAGTGGTTTGGAAGCCGGAGACGATCACACTTTGCAGTGTCGGGAAGTTGATCAAGCATCCTGAAGGAATGAGTTTGAGGTCAGACATCTTTTCCACCAGGCCTCAGAAAGAACCTCGATAAGCCATCGTCCAGAGAGTTAGTTGCGAAGGATAACATAGCTGTAGCAAGGACTATCGTTCGTCTTTCCGGGTGATCTTGAGACTAGCCCATACCTACTTTGGTTCGGGTAGGCCAACGATCGCTCAGATAAATTCATAGACAAAGAAACGTCACCCAACCACATCTTGCGAGTCTGGCTCTGAGACTGCGGTTGATCAACCAGAATTTTTCTGGTGCGCGTTTCTTTGTTAGTGCGCACCACGGTATAAGCGGTGATCAGTCCGCCGTAAAGGAAAGGAACAGCGTCCCAGTCCAAGCTCGCCGTTCGGGGTTTTTGGTTTGGGGGGCGTGTTAGTGGTGGGTTCCTGATGCAATCGCAGGATCGCGGGTCGCAATCCGCAAAGATACGGACGGACAACCACTCTTTTTTGTATCTCCACTCCCGATGTTAGTAAACGACCGAGTCGCTGCAAGCGCAACAAAAACTCTGCAATACCTTGGCGGTCAGTGAAGGTTTGAGGCAGAGAAAGAAGCGAATGCAGAAAAGACTACGCTCAAGGTGAACCCAAGAGATGAAGGAGCCCATTTGTTCGATGTTTCGACGTGGCGCACAGAGATAGCTACCCCACGAAAACGAGGCCAGTGATAAGTGTGGCAGTGGTCAGTAGTTGGCCCAATGGTGGGTAATAGACGGGGTTTCTTCCGGGAACGAAAGGAGGAAAAACACGAATCGGTTGAAATACGTGCTGGAAGTCACTTAATCAACCTGCATCTGTGCTGATTCGACAGGGACGAGTCTGTGTTTGGGTCGTCAAGGTCCGGGGAGTGGGCACCTTGATGGACGGATCCTACGACTCGCTGATCAGTCTGTGGTACAGAAATAATACAAATGTCTGTCAAGTCTTCGCTGCATCATAGCATCTTGTTGAATCGTCTTTGTCAGTTCATTGGAATTGAGAATAGCTGCCTCTGACGTGAGATCCCTCCCATTGCTCATCATTGTCCATCATTGTGTTAGTGAGTTGTCGACACCACCAACTAGTCCAACCACTCACTAGAGCCTGACATCACCGAGTCATCTGCTCAAAACGAGTACCTTTCAAACAGAGATTTCTTTTTTGGTCTTTGCCCATCCTCGATTCCCTCACTCTGATCCCGAATATTATCTGCAATCTCAATCACCATGGCTGAAGAACCGGCACTCCTGCGGATTCCCCCAGAGATTCGCATGTTGATATACGACTATCTTCTCGACAATGGCGGGACGAAGGACATTTCAATCCGCAACCAGTCGAGGTCCGAGTATGAAGCGCTCCGTTCGAGAACGAAACGTTCAGTGTACAACATAATGGAGCGAAGTATCGCAAAGAAGTCGTACGAAACCACGTATTGCGCCGAGCCCGAACCACGCCGATCGATGGACGTAGCTATCATGCACATCAATCGCAAGATTCGAGAGGAAGCGTCCCACTTCTTGTACACAAAACATGCCTTCCACTTTGGAGATGATCTTGAGGCTGTAGTGCCGTTCTTCGCCGACAAGACGCCACGCACTAGAGACCTAGTTCGCGAGATCAGCCTTTACAAGCGCAGTCCAACAAATGCCATTGAGCCAGATTCTTGCGACTGGTCCTCAGTTTGTCGTTCGCTGCGAAATCTGCAGAGCTTGGACAGATTGACGCTTGTCATTGAAGGCGCTCGGCCACGAGGATCATGGGACGGCCCGCAGAGCTTGACGGTGTCAGATTTTCGGTTATTATATTCGACTCGTCATGAGAGTTTGGGATGGGCGCGGGAGCTGGCCTCAATTGGGACAATCAGAGAGGTGGTGATCGTTGCAGACATTCACAACCTGCCAAATCCCGAGTCGAACATGATGCTGGTCCTTGCTGCATTTTCTTCGTCGATCGAAACATCGTTGGTGGACTTCCTCCGTGATGATTTGGGTATTCCAGCCCGTATGGGACAACCACAATATTGTGGTGTGGGTGTTTTTGGTCGATCCAAGAAATGCCAACGCAATGGATGTTTACCAAGTTGAAGAATTGGAAAGACGGATTCTAGGTTCCAAAGAGAAGGTGTTAAGTTAGGTACAGCCGCTGGCCAGCGCAATATGATGGAATGCGAGGAGTTTGGTTGTTTTATGTCATGCCCGTTGCTGAGATTGGCGCATTGGAAAATCGCGATATTTGATACGATTTAATGATACAAAACTTGTTAGTGTCTAAAATGCTACTCACAACATTTAAGCATGGAGATTTGAGAATAAGTGAACATGAACATGAATATGAACATCCATGAATAGTGACATGGTCCTTACCTTCCCCTTCTGTGAGATTGACTTAGAGTAGATGCCTCACGTGACAAATCCTGCGGCGCAAGCAGCAAGGACGGCTTGAAATGGAGCTCTGGGTTATGGGTGGCTGGGATTGGAGCCCCTGCAGCCCAAAAGAAGTGCAGGTACAGCGCCATTATCCGCTGTCTCCAAGCAAGCTACAGCAGGTGTCTACCTTACGGATACAGCAAGGGCCCACCTCAACCCATTATCTCAGCCTCCCCCGTATCATCATCGCTCCCGTACCCGTTCTGCGCCTTGTATGCGGCGCAACCTCACTACAACCCGGAATCTCCATCCAACCTTTAATCTCGCCGCCGTATCCTCCGCGATTGCGTCTATAATCGTCGCATTCTTGTGAATTGCTAGGAGTTTGGCTTGCTTCGACCTACTCCAAGCTACCCCGCGGCCGCAGTTACCGACAAGATGGCCACGCCAGCTCCCCCCGAGGACCAAGCTCGTCTGCTTGAAGATGCCCTGGTTGCCGTGCGTCAGCAGACTTCGCTGATGCGCAAATGTCTCGATACTCCGGGCAAGCTAATGGATGCGCTCAAGTGCTGGTACGTCACAACAACGATGCGCGACATGATGGTCCAATCCCCTGAACAGTATCACTAACTCTTGATAGCTCGACCCTTGTTTCTGAGCTTCGCACCAGCAGCCTTGGTCCCAAACAATACTACGAGCTGTACATGTCTGTATTCGACGCATTGCGATACTTGTCCGTCCACCTTCGCGAAAACCACCCTGTCAACCACCTAGCCGACCTCTACGAGCTTGTTCAATATGCCGGTAATATCGTTCCACGATTATATCTCATGATCACCGTGGGAACCGCTTACATGGCCATTGAGGATGCGCCCGTCAAGGAGCTCATGAAAGACATGATGGATATGAGCCGAGGTGTTCAGCATCCTATTCGTGGACTCTTCCTTCGTTATTATCTTTCAGGTCAAGCGAGAGACTACTTGCCGACAACCGAGAGCGACGGTCCCGAAGGCAACATCAGCGATTCCATCAACTTTGTGCTCACGAATTTTGTTGAGATGAACAAGCTATGGGTTCGACTACAGCACCAAGGTCATTCGAGGGAGCGCGAGCAAAGGATTCGAGAGCGAAAGGAGCTGCAACTACTTGTCGGCAGCAACATTGTTCGCCTAAGTCAGCTTGTCGACCTCGAAACCTACAAGTCCAGTATTCTAGCGCCTTTGCTAGAGCAGGTGGTTCAATGTCGGGACGTTCTCGCCCAAGAGTATCTCCTTGAGGTGATTACGCAAGTTTTCCCAGACGAATTCCACCTGCACACATTGGACCAGTTCCTTGGGGCAGTCTCGCGCCTCAACCCTCACGTCAACGTCAAGGCTATTGTGATTGGCTTGATGGACCGATTATCCGAGTACGCCGAACGCGATGGACCTGAGAACAAGTCGGAGGATAGGGCTCAGATGGAGGCCGATGCTCTGGCGAAGCTGCTGGAGAAGGTTAATCTTCAGAAAGATACTCCCGCGGCCACACCTTCAGATTCTAAATCTCCTGAGGATAGCAAACCAGCCGATGCTTCTGAGTCTAGCGAGTCTTCCGAGGACACCAAGACTTCCGAAAGCGAGGATGAAACAACAGCCAAAGCCGAAGGGAATGATGGCGAAACCACTGGTGAGAGTAGTGCCGACGATTCCAGCACACTCGCCGAATCTACCCCTTCAGTGGCCGAGACAGAAGCAACGGCTGTCAATGGCCAAGGCTCCATCACAGACAAGGTCCAGCTCTACGAGGTGTTCTTTGCTCAGGTTAAGAACCTAGTTGAAGCCCAGCATCTCCCTGTGCCGGACATCATTGCTCTTCTGGTGTCACTTTGCAATCTTGCTCTCAACATTTATCCCGATAGACTTGACTATGTCGACCAGATTCTGGCTTACGCCAACACCAAGGTTCGGGAGAACATGAACAACGCTGATTTACACTCACCCCCCGCTCAGCAGAGCTTGCTTGCCCTGCTGCAAGCACCTCTTGACCATTATGTTTCTACATTTACTGCTTTGTCTCTTCCTACCTACGTTCCTCTTTTCCAGTCGCAATCATACCCCACTCGCCGCGCCGTTGCCGGTGGCGTTGCTCGCACTCTTCTCAAAAACCAAACTACGATCTCGACTACGGAACAGCTTGAGAATGTGTTGGAAGTGCTGAAAGTTCTCATTAAGGAGGGATCTCAAGCACCTCAAGGTTACCCCGGTGTTAGCCAAAGGCGCCCTGTGGAGACCGACGAGACGATGGAAGAGCAGGGATGGCTCGCAAGGATGGTGCACTTGCTGCAAGCTGAGGATAACGACACTCAGTTTAAGCTACTTCAAATGACGAGAAAAGCGTACTCGGAAGGAAACGAGCGTATCCGTACAACTACACCTCCTCTTCTGACAGCATGTATGAAGCTGGCAAGGAAGTTCAAGAAGCGAGAGCACTTCGACGACAACTGGGAGACGCAGAGCAACGCCCTGTTCAAGTTTATGCATTCTGCACTGAGTACGCTATACACGCGTGTCAACAGCTCTGGCGCTGCCGAGATGGCGCTGCGTCTATTTGCATCGGCTGGTCAAACAGCCGATCTGGTAGGTTTTGAAGAAGTTGCGTACGAATTCTTTGCGCAGGCTTTTACAGTGTATGAGGAGGCAGTCACAGACTCCAAAGCTCAATTCCAGGCAGTCTGTGTAATTGCGACTGCTCTTCACCAGACCCGCCACTTCGGCAAGGAGAACTACGATACACTCATTACCAAATGTGCACAGCACGGAAGCAAGTTGCTGCGCAAGCCTGATCAATGTCGCGCTGTGTACCTGGCTAGTCACCTGTGGTGGGCAACTCCCATTGTGGCCAATGGCGAATCCGAAGAGACAGAGGTATGTTTGTTCCACGCATTCAAGAGCTTAACTAACATGAACAGCTTTACCGCGATGGTAAGCGAGTGCTCGAATGTCTTCAGCGAGCTCTTCGGGTGGCGGATTCTTGCATGGAGACGGCCACATCGATTGAGCTCTTTGTTGAGATCCTAGACCGTTACGTGTATTACTTCGACCAGCAGAACGAATCAGTGAGTTTTAGTGAACGAATCCTAAAATCAATTGCTAACTCGTGCAGGTTACAACCAAGTATCTTAATGGACTTATTGAGCTCATTCATTCCAACCTGGCGGGCAACCAACAGGACTCTGCGTCAGTTGAAAACAGCCGCCGACACTTCAACCAGACCTTGGAGAATATTCGCAGTCGACAGTACGAGGGTATTGTGTTGACCCCGAACTGAGGTCTGGTTGGCAGCGAAAGAGGTCAAGAGAAGGCGAATGAGTAGCATAGCGATAGATAATGTTTAGCCTGCATGTATTGTCGAAGGAGCAGGCAGTTGTATATATGTAACTTTTGCCCCAAGATTGATCATAAGCCGCGGTGACGTTACTTACATAGGTTCGTGAGTCTTTGTGACAGTGGAGGTTGAGTTCAGGGGTACGAAGCAGCCAATCCGGAGAGGGTCCATACCTACGAGTTATTGGTACAGTACTCCGTAGTCTAGATCGGTCTCCATATTGAATTAAGAGATGGGGCTCTGGCTATTCTTGGACTGCAGTTCATTTATCGTAGAATTTGAATTTAATGTACGCTAAGAATGAGATGACCTGGCTGCAACTCTACAGCTTGTTCAAGGTCCAGATACGCGCATCACCTCCCTCTCCCAGTTAGGCTGTCTCCTTTATCCCAGCTTTTGTGGGGTAATCCTGGTGGCGTGCATGGGCGAATTCAGGAGACTTTTGAGCTTCTTTGGATGCCTCTCAAACCGAGTGTCAAGTGTCAGAACATGTTTCATATCAAAATTTGACCAAATAATAAAGATTATAGAGATTGATCAAGTCAAATATGATGGTGTTGAAAAGGAAAGATCTCATGCTCTCAACAAAAAATAAATAGAAGCCAAGGCTTGCCAAGTATGGCAGTCTTAACTCAGCCACTTTAAGACTCGACCAACCCGTAGAGGAACGCCCTCAGTCTCAGGCTCACGCTCAGGTCAGGTCCGTACTAACCGGCGGGTTATAGTGGGCTCCGGTCCCTTACGTGGACACTCCGTTCGCCATCATCCCCCGTCGCGATCGTCTGGTATAGTAATCGTCCTTTGACTTTAACTAATCATCTCAACCTATACTGTCTTATTTTTCCTTTCTTGCCAATCAACTCCATCGACTAACCCGTTGAACCGGGGCATTTGTCTTCTGAGCTCTTGTTTGGCGATGCGCTTCTGGCGTCCGGCTCTTGCTCTTGTCTCTCTTTCTTGACGCTCCTTTCGTACTGGACCTGATCCATCCTAATTGCTTCCTATCGTATCGATCGATCGACTTTCAATCCACTCCTTTATCTCAACCTCACAGCAACATCGAATGGCCCTGTTTATGCCGATTCCATTATAACCTTTCCAAGACAAAGCTTCAATCGGATTGAATATACGACAACCGAGGGCGCGGTTAGCGCTCATACATTATCAACATGCCTTCGGAAAAGGCTCCTTTCTATGATCCTATACCTCCCACATACGACCAGGCCGTGGCCAGCGGTAGTCGCTATGACCCCGACGACTGGTCCCCTGCTCCAAGATCTCCGACTAACGAGCGAAATGCAACCGAAGCCGAATCCCAAGGTCTCTTACAGCACTCAAGTGCTGCCAGCTCTTCACGCAGACCCGACGGTTATCGACCACCAACAGTAGAAACCGACGATGAGGACAGTTTGTGGGCCAGTGACAGTGATAGCGATGACGAAGCCGCGCAGGTCCGACGTGAGATGCAGGAGATGGAGATCGAAGAACCCGACCGATCCCGAGGCTCCCAGTGGGGAAAACGAATAGGCTCATATCTAACTTTACCGGCTTGGAAATGGTCCTGGCGCCCAAGATTACCGCGATTGCGCATACGTCTACCTCAACGAGCTGATGCGCCAGCGTCCGAAAACGCCGAGACTGCTACGGGTGAGAATGAGGAGACGCCAAGCCAGACAACGCGGAGGTGGAGTATACCCAAGTTCGACAAGACAGTCGTTATACTGTTTTGCGTGCGCATTCTGGCGCTCACGATTATACTGGGATTCTTCTATCTGCTTTTCGCCAGCGATATGTTCGGAGGTCTATCAGATCGTCTTGGGGGCGGGTTCCGATTTAATCCTGAGGATCTCAAAGCCCACCTACTGCGTACTGTCGATCCCATGAGGATGCGCGCCTCCGTTCAACACTTTTCGAACTATGCCCATATCGCCGGTACCGAAGGCGACTACGCGACTGCTCTGGATGTCCAGGCCATGTTTGGTCGAGCTATGCTGGATGAGGTGATGATGGACGAGTACAAGGTTTATATCAACTATCCCCGCAAGGACGGTCGTGCGGTGCAAATAATGGACGAAAAGGATCTGAAGAAGGCCATATGGACAGCCAAGCTAGAGGAGGAGGAAGTTGGTGGCGAGACAGCAGGCCGGCAAACATATGCCTTTCACGGATACTCCAAGTCGGGTGACGTCAAGGGACCACTCATTTATGCCAACTACGGTTCACGAGAGGATTTCGAGTATCTCGTGAGTAAGGGAGTTAATGTTACAGGAGCTATTGCGCTGGTACGAAATGGTGGTTCTCTGGATAACCAAGGTCTCAAGGTCAAGGCTGCGGAGCTTGCAGGTTTCGCTGGCTGTCTGACTTACTCCGACCCGGCTGATGACGGATTTAAGAAGGGTGCTGTTGCGCCTGAAGGACTGTACATGCCCGCCGACGGCATTCAAAGAGGTTCCGTAGGTCTCACAAACTGGGCCATCGGTGATCCTTTGTCCCCTGGTTATGGTAGCAAAGGAGATCAGCGAATTACTCTCGACAAGGCCAATGGGCTCGTTGGTATTCCCAGTCTTCCATTGGCATGGAGAGACGCCAAGATTTTGCTTCAACACCTCAAGGGATATGGCAAAAAGGTACCAAACAAATGGGAAGGTGGTGTTCCAGATATCGAGTGGTGGACTGGCGGCAACAAATCTCCAATTGTGCGATTGAAGAACGAGCAAGATGAGGATCCTATGCACACTATCTGGAACGTCTATGGTCGGATCAATGGCATGGAGCAAACATCCAAGTCTATTATCATCGGCAACCAGCGTGATTCCTGGGCTTTTGGTGCGACTGACCCCCATTCAGGCACCGCCGTTATGATCGAGATGGCCAGAATCTTTGGAGACCTCGTACAGCGAGGCTGGAGACCCCTGAGAACCATCGAGTTCATGTCATGGGATGCGTCTGCTTACAACCTGATCGGCTCAACAGAGTACGTCGAACACAACTCAGATGCCCTGCGCGACAATGCTTTTGCCTACATCAACCTCGATGCAGCTGTTGTTGGCAACGAATTGCACGCCTCCGGATCGCCCGTCTTCCAAAAGGCTCTTCTGCACGCTCTAGGCAGAGTTATCGACCCTAGTACTAATGCTACTTTGAAGGAGCTTTGGGACCAGAGCCACGCCGAACTTAAACAGCCCGAAGGAAGGGGCAACCATCTCCCATTCCAGGACATTTCAGGAACTAGCTCGCTCGACCTGGCGTTCAGGGGAAGCCAGGTCCCTCATCATTCAAGCTACGACAAGATTAACTTGGTGGACAACCTGATCGATCCCGATTTCAAGTATCATGGTGCTATGGGACAAGTGATGGCTCTTCTCATTCTTGACATGGCAGACCGACCTATCATGCCATTTGACATGGGCTGGTATGCGCAGAGACTAGGTCAATGGGTGAAAGAGCTCGAGAAGTGGGCTATCAAGCGCTTAGGAGGTCAACCCAAGGGTGAGACAGACGCTTTCAAGGAGCTCAAGGAAGCTGTACAGCTCATTCAGCACAACGTTGCCACATTTGAAAAGTGGGAGATGGATTGGGATCGTGACGTTCTGGGCAATGGAGGCTGGGAGGCCAACGACATTGGCGCAACTCGATTAGCATACAACAACAAGATGGCCTATTTTGAGACGGCATTGCTGGACCTTGAAATCGGTGGCGGAGTAAGTCAAATTCATCTTCACCTGATCACGGATATCAAGCTGACCATTTATAGATCCCCAACCGCACACAGTTCAAGAGCGTCGTCTTTGGGCCAGAAGCATGGTCTAACGACGGAGCTGTCTTCCCTTCAATTCGGGACAGCATAGAAGGGGGGGATTGGAAAACCGCCAAGCCCATCGTTGCCAAGACGGCAGCACTTCTGCGCAAAGCAGCGTCGATTTTAGAGATGCAGCAATAAAGCACGTGTATGATTTCAACTGAGCAAGGATCCTCGATTTGTTTCTCTTTTCTTTTTTGTTGTTTCTCACTTCCTCCATTTGAGTCTTGGCGAGTACGCCGTTGTTCTTTTCTTTTACAGGATATACATAGTGGTTTCTCATTCGGGAACTGCGTGACAACTCTTCACGCACAAAAATGTACAGGAGGCATTGCACGGAGTTTGGTTACGTGGACCCTGCTTTTCATATATTGTTTTCTTGGGTAGGGTCAGGACTTGTTAAGACAACTCGTCGGAATAGAGTGATGGGCTGCCTGGCATTTATACCGGTAGATGGAATATTTCTTCTTTGTTATAGTTCATAGTAATGAAGGAATGCGAGTCACTCATGTGCCCTAATATGATCTATCATATGTTGCATAAGTTCACAGTGACAGAAGTGTTGGCTCCATGATTGCTGTATATCTCATATCCTGAGCTTGCGATGACTTCATTCCACCGCCTAAGCCTTTTGCGCCTCATAGTCTTGCACGGAAACCAGCTTTCCAACGACATTGTACTTCTCCAGGAATCTCTCCTCCCAACCCTGAAGCGCATCCATCTGCTCGGCATCCAATCCCTCAAGCTTGTCAAGGGGTCCATCAAGATCCTTGGTCAGCATATCCTCATCGAAGCTTCCACACGCAAGGCCTCGGCTTGCATCCCTGCCGGCAAAGTTGCTGTACGGACCACCGGGACCGTAGAAGTTGCGACCAGGAGTTACATCAAAAACGCGACCGCGCACGGCAAGGTAGACAGGGCGGTTCTCCTCGCCGTTGAAAGGGAAGAGAGTGTGGGGAGTGTAGGTTCGGAAGACAGTTGACGGAGTATCTCGAGGAAGCGAGGGTGGTGGCGATGAGCGCAGGAGGGCATAGGTTGTGTAGAGGACGGCGGAGAGGAGGACTATGTTGAGAGGAGTGAAGAATGAAGCACTGGGAGAGTTAGTGAGGTTCGGCCGCGATGGATTGATGGACAACGTACGTTTCTTGGCTGGCTTGCTGAGCCATATGACTCTCGACGTGATCCATGGTGTGAAGCAGTGATTGATCTCTAGATTGAAGAAGTTGCGCGGTGTTGTCGAGCAATGAAAGTGTCAGGTAATTTCTGCGATGTTAATTTGTAGATGTTGGTTGAAGATTGTCAAAAGCGAGGCCCAGTAGAGTTCCGAGCTTCCGGGGCTTCTCTGAGCTTCTCCCCCACTTTATGCTCCGGCTCCGTCTCAGCTTCGGCGGCAATTGAAGTGTCTCGGGAGTTAGGCAGTAGCCGGCCCAGGCAGCTAAGATGCATGAACCAACACTGATTAAGTGGTCTAAAAAGAAAATGCAACACCTTCTTTAGACTAGAGGTTTGGTGTATGAATGCACTAATTCTTTCGTTCAGTCTCCTTCAAGTCCATATCTCTTTGCAAGCTCCCACTCACAGCCCGCGCTCTTTTGATTCACTGGGCTTACTATACTTTTGGAAGGGTTGCAGAGGTCAACCAGTAACTAGGTATATAATCCGTGCTTCTCTATATTTATCTAGGAAAAGACCGAAAGCACCGAAGCTAAGATACATAAGTTCGGTGGATTCTTTTCTTCGTGCCTCGGTCACTTTTGGTAGGGGTTTAGCATTGGTCCAAGGTTTAAGCAGGGTCGCGATACAAACTTCCTGTCTATGTCCGCCAACTTTGAACAAATAACGTCTTACTCATTATAACGGGCTCAAAAGAAAAAGGAAGTCGAAGGACAAAAAAAGCAAAAGGAACTGGAGGCTGAGGGATTTGAACCCCCGGCCTTTCGCAAGCATTTGGAACAATGCAAAGCGAACGTGATACCCCTACACCAAGCCCCCGTTTCGTTGATGTTCGAGCGTCAAAGTAGCGTATAGATACCCTTGACATGGAGCTTGCAAGCACTTTTTTCAAGAGCCTTATAAGTTCATCGGACATACAGTTAGTTTGGTGAAAGAATGATACTTGAGATAGCGTTTAATTGAATTCCTTGGTCTGTCTTGAAGTTTCCTAGTCAATCCTTTTGCTTCTCTATGCTGGACACGAAGCGGACGTCTATCACGAATACCTAGGTAGGTTCCTACCTACCTAGGCAGTTAGAATATCAATAAGGTCGATGACTTTTTCAAGCAAACTTGACAAGACGATCCCAAGAATCAAGGACTTACAAATAATTAAGTAAAAGCTTACATGGCAAAACACTACTTCTGTTACTGTGGCGTACAAAATTTAACGCGAGAGCATAGACTCAAAAGAACCCATTCATTTACTACAACGCTTCGTGTAAGTCAAGTCAAGAAAGCCCGGGCAGGCGGTGCATTGCACCTGTAACCTTAAAATGGCACTTACAAGGTAGTTCCAAGGCCATTCATTTGTTTAAGGTTGCCTCTTTCTATGCCAGGCGCAACTTCTCTGTATTCAGCCTCATGGTTGTCCCGTGAGTCAACGGCGAAAGACTCATCCTCAGCCGCAGCCTCCACTTCCGATTCACTGAATCACTGTCGCACCTTCCCCGAAGGTTTGAACGATATTCACTTATAAACATAACATGGCACGGCATTGCCGCACTATCTTCTTTCCTCGTAATCCTTTCTCCGCTTTCACATATCCTCACAACCTTTCCAGAAAACTGTCAACAACAATGGCGTCCTCTCCTGATCCTGGTCCAGTGTACTTCTGGAAAGAGTCTGATCCAGAGGTCGGTTACCTATCACAATGGTACTACTGCCCTTTTCGCGATGACGGAGATGAAAAGATAACCTACAAAACTGCTGAGCAGTAAGTCCTCTGAAAGCGTTTCGAGATATGAACTAATAGTGTCAAGTTATATGATGTATCAGAAGGCTATTCTTTTCAAAGACCATGACACAGGTCTCGAGATCCTCAAAGCAGGTCATCCGCGAAAAGTAAAGTCCCTAGGCCGCCGAGTCAAGAATTTTGATGAAGCGAAGTGGCTTAAGCATCGTTGCGAGATCGTACGACGAGGAAACATTCTCAAATTCACCCGTGCTGTCACGGAAGAAGGGTACAAGAAGGGCACACCGGACGGCGATCCTCTTGAAGGATCATTGCTCGATACACTGCTTGGTACAGGTGACAGAGAACTTGTCGAGGCTAGTCCGTTTGATCCTATTTGGGGCATTGGGTTTAAAGCCGCTGACGCAGAAGGTGCACGAGGGTCTTGGGGGCAGAATTTGCTAGGCAAGGAATTGATGGAGGTGAGAAGCCGATTGCAAAACAAGGGAACTCAAGAATAGGTGTAGATCGTTCTATCTTTCACGGCAAGTCGAAACACTTGGCCCGGGACTGATTCAAGCATGCTTTCAGGCGAATTGCCTATCGCTCTAATAGATTGGAATGGCCTCAAATACAAAGGCAACTTTTGAACCTGTCTATAGTCCATGTTCCTCCCACCGCTGATAATGCCCAGCCCAATGCCCCTTTTCCCTTCGGTAATCATACATACAAAAGCCTCGTTTCGAGGCAAGCAGAGCGGCGTGTTAGTCATTTTGTTTTTGCTGATAAACAGCCCCAGATCCATTCTCCAAAAAATGCTGGTTTTGTGGTGTTATGTTGTGTTGTGTTGTGGTATTGATGTTGTCTTCGTGTCGAGAGTCCGCCCTGGTATTTTCACATGATAGAACATATTGTACAGTTATTAAAACACATTAGGCGATGCTCCCTTGCTCGCCCGTCCTCCTATCTTTCAGGTATCCAACAAATGCAGATTCCAACCCCTGACGCCGCGTTGTAATGATCGTGCTTTTTAGTACCAGTCTCGTCCGCTCTTCTGCATCTCAATCAGACGCCAGCCCCGTGTCTCAGGGTTGTTGACGTCCTCGGGTACTCGTGTGATACCAATGGCATAAGTAACGAGCTGAACCTTGTCCTCCATGCCGGCAGCAAGCTCGCTTGTCTTGGCGTTACGGTAGACGTGGACTTCCTGCGTGCGGCAGGTGACGATGAAGACTGGAACCTCACCGGGGTCAAGCATACGCGCTCGCAGAATGTCAACATTTCGGATATCCAAGATCTTTCCGTCAGACTTCATGCCAGCCTGAAGGTATTGCTTGGTCAAGGCCTCGTACACGGAGTACTGGGCAGCAGAGAGCCACAGCTTCAGGGTCTCGGTCTCACCCTTAACGTAGGCATCCAGAACCTCAGGGAGGATGTACTCGCGGAGTTCCTGGAGGAAAGGCTCCGTCTGGAAATTGGGGTCCATAGATCGGAACTTCTTGATAACCATGGCAGTCTCGTTCTCGGCAAAGAAGCCTCCAATGCGGTCGGTGATGCTTCGAGCGGTCGAGACCAGAGGGTTCTCAGACTCTTCGTACTTGCCCCTCAAGCTGAAAAGTCCTTGAACGTATTTGTTCTGGTCGCGGAAATCTCTCCAGGCCTCCTTCCAAGCAGCATCTTTGTGAAGGGTCACGCTAGTGCCAGCGCTACTTTCTGTTAGAACAATACGAATGATAGAGAGGAAATATACTTACTTGATGTCCTCTTCCATGACTTCAGGGGACTTGTAACCCCGCTGCTTGTCGAGAGCCTCTCGGCGCTTCCGTCGCTCCTCTTTCTCGACCCAGCCACCATACCGGGAAGAGCTGCCATCGTCAATGACATTCTTGACGTTCTTGTAGGCCTCTGTGTTTCGGATAGGCTGAGTAGCCTTATCCACGGCGTCTCCAGTGACATTGGCGGCTTTTCGCACACCCTTAACAACTGAAGTATCCCAAGTCCAAGAAGCACCCTTGCCAATGGCACCTGCAGTTGCTTTGGCACCCTTTCCGAGGGTTGAGGACACAGCACCGGTAGACTTCTCGTAAGCTTCACGAGCACGTCGCACACCCTCGCTCTCGGCGAATTGGTTAGCGGATGCTGCAATCTGCTTTGTAGACTCATTCCACTCTTGGGACTTTTGGAACTCGGTGTTCATGGTCTCCATGAACACCTGCCAAGGGGTCTTATCACCGTGGGGAGGTGGGGGAGGGGCGTCCTCTTTCTTTTTGTCCTTGCCCTCACCTTCGCCCTCACCATCTTCCTTTTCCTTTCCTTCCTTTTCGCCGTTCTCGCCCTCCTCGGTCTTCTTGGACTGCTCCTCCTCAGGCTTCTCGGTCTTAGCCTCGGACTCGGCGTCCGTGGGCTTTTGTTCCTTTGCGTCGGTGGGGGGGGTAGTTGAAGCCTTCTGCTCGGTTTGAGGCTTCTCTTGGTGTAAGTGGCTAGAGAGGTGGAAGAGGCGGGATTGCGCTGTGTAAGTGGGGGTGTAGCGAAGCTCGGCGGGCACAAAGGAAGACCTCAAGGGAGGTCGAACAGATCCGGAGAGCATTGAGCTCTGTGTCGTAGCGCCATTACGAGAGGCGTTCTGAGAGAGCTGGGATGCTAATCTGCGATATGCGGGAGATCTACCAGCAGATGAGACATGAGCAGAAGCCCGCGACAGGGCAAGCTCCAAGGAGGCCGTCTTTCTTGCGAGGGAATTCATTATTGCAACAACACAAGCAGACAAAGAAACCCTCCAGAGAAGAACGGAGTGTGGATATGGAATATGGATGGACGGTGGAAGGTGGTGGAATTCCCGGACGAAATTTTGGTTTGCGATCTCGGTCCGGGGGCGGAAAGTCAAGGAAGGCAAGCACCGAGGCGGCAAAGCCTCGGTAGAAATTTCAATCGGGTCCCCGTTCGTGGGGGAGCTACCGACCGCGAGTAAAAATTGCCAGAGGCAGATCATTTGAGATCCAATCCAATTCTATTGCAAGTCCACGACAGGCAATGCGCACAAGATGAGTCGCACATTGTCGAGCCGCCTCGCGGCAAAGTCGCTTTTCCAATGTCCTCGAGTCACCCTCCAATCTATCCGATCGATCTCGCAAACGACTCCTGTCCGCGATGACAAGCCTAAGAGCCGACCCAGCACCGCTTCGATCCTGGAGAGCATCTATGGCCCACAAGAAACAACCAAGACGGAGTCTACTCCCAACAATAGTGCCATGGCCAACCTATCCCAGAGTCTTGTCTTCAAGACACTCGACCAGACCAACATTGATACGAGCGCCTTGAACAGAAGATCGAATCGCAAGGCACAGGCAAAGGAGGACGACCTTGAGCCTTACCACTTCCACATCTACTCTCACAAGCACAACACTCACATTACTTGCACCAAGCCCGACCGAGGCCCCATCATTTCCCTTTCGGCTGGCAACATTGGATTCCGCAAGTCTCGTCGTGGTACTTTCGATGCCGCCTACTCTCTTACCAAGTATGTCCTAGAGCGATTAATCCATACCGGCTGGCCGATCAAAATGAACCGATTGGAGGTTGTGATGCGAGGTTTTGGCCAGGGACGAGAAGCCGCTCTCAAGGTCTTGATGAGCCCCGAGGGCAAGGTCTTGCGAGACAAGATTGTGCGTGTGGCCGATTCAACAAGAATCAAGTTCGGTGGTACCAGGAGTGAGAAGCCCAGACGTCTGTAAGCCACATGGAAGTTTGGAATTGCGTTGGAATTTGGACACTTTTTGGGGATATGTTCATGCCAGAATATCACTTCACCACAGAGGGTTACGAAAGTGAATGTACTATACTCTGTACGACATGTACTATACAAATGAACAAAAAACAGCTTGCTTTGATTTGCAAGTTCCCAAAAGAACGATCTGCTCTGAAGTATCAAACCACTGGTATCGTACTAACCTGATCGACCTGCCGGCTAACTCCAAACTCCGCTAAAGAAAAAGAAGAAAAAAATATGCACCTTGGTTTACAATCTATCATCGCAGAGCCCTCTCGGCAGGAGGTAGACGTCGTCCGGCGGTATCGCGGAGCGCTTGCTTACCCTTACCACTGCCGCCGCGTCTCCTCTCATCCTCGGAATTCCAATCGTCATCCCCACTGTCATCGTTGCTATCGGTCAGCAAATGAGGGTTCGATGCTTTGAGCATGCCTGTGTTCTCGTTCGAATTGTCATAGTCATCCAGCAGCGCGCCTTCACTCGTATCATACTCTGGTGGTTCAATCCACTCTCGAGGAACGACGCAGGGCAGTGCGACACCAATACTAGCAGCACGATTCAACCACCCTGGGCCTGATTGTCCTGTAAGCCGCTTGCATAGGTATGAGGTGAAATGGTTGCAGTTCTTGGTGAGGAGATTGTACGATGTGCCAAGAAACTCGTCGGAAGCAGCTCGGAGAGTCGCTTCAATTTCTTGCTCGGTCGCAAGAGTGAATCCGTGAAGGATCTCGCATCGGAATGTGCCTCCAGGCGGTTCGGTCCTAGGTTTTGTCCAGTACACGCCAGTGAGGCCCCGCTTGTCATGTCCACCATATGCGTATTCCTTTCCGTTGATTACGACGCCTGAATGTAGAAGTGAAGCGCCTACTGTCCATAGTACTGATGATAACCGGCCAGGCTGCCCAAGCCGCGCAAATCAGTATCTTCGTCATGAAGGGAAGCTAGTATGAGAGAATATGACGGGGCTTACTTACCGGCAATAGATCATAAACATGAATGGTAATCTCAGTCTTGGACAGAGATAGTGTCGAACGGTGAGATCTGCTCACTGAAGAGCTCTTCTTGGGACGAGGCATTCTGACCGTTACAATATTGCGAAATGCGACGTCAAAAGTCGCTCGAAGCTTTGGGGTTCGCAGCTGATGGGTTGGAGCGGGGCTGGGGAAATGGTGGGCTAATATCCTATCCTTGATGTATGCTATTTCAGGTAGGTCTCAGGTAAACATAGGCGAGGGTCGAGGGTCTGGTCACGGCAAACAATCCTGGGAACAAAGAAGTGATGGATTGTTCTAACTCCAAAGGTTGATGAATAGAACAAGAGGTAAGGGAAATACAGAAAGGAAGCGGAGAGTTCGGGCCGTGTTAGTTAGGTAGGTTTGTTCCTTTAAAGATCAGAAGCCGCGGTCTCGGCGAAGGTCCAAAATCAATCCTCTGAGCTCATGCATTTCCAAAGACGGCCGCCTAAAACGACATGCGTTCGTTCTGTGACATGCCGATACCGTTACTGTGCCTGTCCACTGGATCCAGGGTCTCGCTGCGCAGGCGCACGGGCGGTCGGGATCAGTGGGCTGTACCTGCCTGCCAAGCTGTTTTCGTCAGCCAATGACGTTATGCTGGAATTCCAGTCGGACTAATAGCTTCACCGATGAACCGAAATCTTGGCACGGCCCAACCTCTCTAAACCCAGCAAGGTGGGGTCACGAACAAATTCTCATCTCATTTTCCCAAGCTCCGTCGCAAAATAAAAAGAGAAATATTTTCTCTCTTCCTCAAACTCTTTTCTCTTCCCTTTTCCTTCGTCGCCGCTCTCGCACTCGAAAGCCGTCCAGGTTGGCTAGCTGCCAACCTAAGTTCTTCAACACGAAGTCATTCACATCGTCTCTCTTCTTCGCTTCTTGTTCTCCTCTTGCACCCCGCGCAGCCAGCTCTGCAGCTCTTGGATCCGTTCCATTCACGCGCTCCGGCCTAGTCTTCTTTGTTCAACATCGAAACTACGCCAAGTCAAGAAAGATGCCTCCCAAGAAGCAAGTCGTTGAGGAGAAGATCCCTCTGGGCAGGCCTGGAAACAACTTGAAGAGTGGTATTGTGCGTCACCACCTCTCTGGCTAGCCCTGAGGGTTATGCCATGACATGCAAGCCATGTACTAACCGTACCTCCAGGTCGGTCTGGCAAACGTCGGCAAATCTACCCTCTTCCAGGCCATTACCAAGTCAAACCTCGGTAACCCAGCTGTATGAAGCCCCCTCGCCATCCGCCGTCTTTAGAATCGGGGTGCTGACAGCATCAAGAACTTCCCTTATGCCACAATCGACCCTGAGGAAGCCCGTGTCGTCGTTCCCGATGACCGGTTCGACTGGCTCGTCGAGAAGTACAAGCCCAAGTCGGTTGTTCCCGCCAACTTGACCGTCTACGATATTGCCGGTCTGACTCGCGGTTCATCCACCGGTGCCGGTCTTGGAAACGCTTTCTTGTCCCACATTCGCGCTGTCGATGCCATCTTCCAGGTCGTCCGTTGCTTCGATGACGCCGAGATCATTCACATTGAGGGTGACGTGAACCCCACCCGTGATCTTGACATCATCAGCGAGGAGCTCCGACTCAAGGATATCGAGTTCACTGAAAAGGCTCTCGAGAACCAGAAGAAGAAGACCCGTATGGGTGGTCAGAGTCTGGAGCAGAAGAAGGCCGTCCAAGACCAGAACACACTTGAAAAAGTTCTGGCCTGGCTTAACGATGGCAAGGACGTCCGCAAGGGCACCTGGGGCCCCAAGGAGGTAAGAAAACTTTTTTCTCTATTTTCACCACTCCCTGCTTTCCTGATGACAAAAGGCCATAAGGCCTGATCTAATCCCAGCTCGTCGAATGCCTCACCTAAACAACGCTTAGAGGCATAGTGAGATAAACTTTACTCTGATTGCAAACCTTCACATTCATCTTTTTGTTGAAAGATTTTGATTGAGCCTTCGCTGACTAGCTCATCTAGATCGAGGTCATCAACCCTCTCTTCCTCCTCACTGCCAAGCCCGTTGTCTACCTCGTCAACCTGTCTGAAAAGGACTTCATCCGCAAGAAGAACAAGCATCTTCCCAAGATTGTCGAGTGGATCAACGAGAATGCCAAGGGTGACCCTCTCATCCCCGTCTCCGTCTCTTACGAGTCCCGTCTTACTCAGTTCGAGACCGAGGCTGAGGCCAAGGAGGAGCAGAAGACCGTCGGTGCCGAGTCTGTTCTGCCCAAGGTTATTCTCCAGATGCGCAAGACCCTGCAGCTTGGCAGTTTCTTCACTGTTGGACCTGATGAGGTTCGACAGTGGACCATTCGCACTGGCACCAAGGCCCCTCAGGCCGCCGGTGTTATCCACAACGATTTCGAGAAGACCTTCATCCAGGCTCTCGTCTTCAACTACAACATCCTCAAGGAACTTGGTGATGAGTCCGAGGTCAAGGCCAAGGGCAAGATCATGACCAAGGGTAAGGAGTACGTCATGGAGGACGGTGATATTGTCCACTTCAAGGCTGGTGCTGCCAAGAGCTAAGCCTGCAATATCACTTCTGGTATTTAATTACATAGAAAAAAGTTAAATGCAACGATGTGACGAAGACATTTTTAATTTTCCCCTACTCATGTGAAGTCTTTCTGTGATGTAAACTGCTTTGAACTATGAATTGTCCTGCTGTGGTTTGTTCTGTGGAAGTAAATATTCATCAGGTGTGTGCTGTTACGTCTTGACTGTCAGTTCCTGTGCTTCATAATTAGTACAACTGTTGGAAACCCATGCTCAGCGTTGGCATTAGTGTCACCCGGTTGATCCAGCATCTACCCTAAAGATTGCAGACTGGTATCCTGGCGACGATACTGCAACGAAATGTAGAGCAATGGATTGTGTATTCTTTAGTTAATGATAATTGCCTTGCGCAGTAGCGATATCATAGTATAAAATCATTCCGGCCTGTAATCTCAACAAGAAGACATCATACTCACAAACACTTACGTCAACTTACATCCCTCCATCATGATCGCTTTTCTGGTGGGGTTGTGAGGGGCATTCAAACCCTGCACAAAAAGAAACAGCCCAGAGTCAACCAAGAATGACAAAAAGATACACTTCGACAAAAGATAAAATGCCCAAAAAAACAAAAATAGATATTCTAAGATTTGCAAAAAGAGATGATCCGCCTGAAAATCAACTTGACGTTTTGCCGTCAGCAAGACTCGAACTTGCGTTTTCAGTGCTTCGAAGAGCCACAAACTGATGTACTGACCCCTATACGATGACGGCCTTTATGATTGTTGAAAACTTTCTTCACGATTTAGTCTATATACCCTAACCGTCTACCACGGTTAAGGCATAACGCCTGCATCCTCTCCAACCACTTTGTCAATTGTGGCTTAAAAATGATGTAAATCAAAATGGCATGGCTTTTCGAAGCTATTGGCATTTATTCTCACATTGTTGTGCGGAAATCAACGATTGGGCTTCATCGGCACCATTCAAGAGACCAGATGACAATTTCTGTAGCCAAACTCTTGTCACAATTTCGCACTCAGTTATAGTCATTTTGAAGTGTTTTTCTTATTAGATACTAAACAAGTTACCAAGTCAAGAAGGGTGTTTCATTATCATCAAGTCTTTTCTTTTTCAATCATCCAATCGTCCGTTCATCTCGCGTAATCATAATCATCATCATGCTGCTAAGAGGCACCAGGCCCTTAGACACCACCATAACGAACTCCTCGCTTTCCAAGCTCCTTACGACCAATGGCATCCTCGGGCCATACCCATCCGCGGCTTCGCTTAGCCTCACGCTTCTCAGCGAGTTGCGGCTGAGGCATCCAAGAGTCTCGGGGCTGTGCCTTGCGGCGGGTTCCTTCAGCCGGTGCGCCGATCTCAGCTCGCCAGTGGGCGTTGCCAGCAGGAGTATCATCGGATGCAAGCTGGCAGAGACCCCAGAGGGCGAGGCATGCAGTGAGAGGAGTCTCCTGTGGCAAGGTTGAGGCGTCACTTTCGGGGGCAGAAGCGGCAAGTTGGACAGATGTAACCTCGAGATCTCCGAAGAAGGGAGTGTTGGCGGTGCCATTGCGAACAAGGACAAGTTCAATCTCAGTGAGGATGAAACCGTAGCGGCACCCGTGCTCGCGCATGGCATGATGGATAGCCGCGAGGCCACGGAGGTACTCAACACGCTTGATGTTGCCTTCAACGCGCATACCAGTGTTGAAGCGGTCGAAGCTGCGAACAAGACCGACAACCCGGGCAGTGGGCTTGCCACCGAACATAGCAGCTGCAGTGGTAGACTCGCCAGCAGCGTTGGCAACGAAGAGAAGGTCGTTCATGCCGGCTGTCTTAGGGGCCACTGAAAGGTGCAGAGGACGAGTGGAAGACATGGCCAGGGCTGAGTTCAGCTTGGGGAGGTAGTATGAGGCATAGATGGAGTGAAGTTGAGCCTCGGTCTCAGGGTGACGAGAAGTGAAGGTAGGCCGAGGAAGAAGAGGCGCAGGGACAGGGTTGGTGAGAAGGATTGAGGCACCAGGAAGAGAAAGAATGGCAGAAGCGTTGAAGGATGACCAAGAGCGAATGTTGCGGACATCCCACCAGAAGTGCTTGGTGGAGGCATCTCGCATGGGGAACGAGATGTGGCGGACAAGAGAGGCAGCTGGGTTGGTTGAGGTGAGGAAGCTCAGAAGGTTGGTGTTGGGAGTAGGGTCCGGAGTAGCAGCGAGGCTCAAAGGAGACTGAGCTCGAGAACTGTAGTCATAGGGAGCGAAGCCATAGTCATTTTGCTGCTGGGGAACAATGGGAGCGAACGAAGGCATCTGGCGGTAAGTTGGGTAGCCATAGCGGTCGATTGTTGTAGCATCAAGGCTGGAAGCACGTCGTGAGTGAGAAGGGCCAGAGATGTGAGTGGCAAAGTTGGCTGGAGAGGTAAGGAGTGATGCAGACAGGGAGTCATCCGGTTGGCTAGAGAAAGATGTGTTGACAGAAGCAATAGAGCCAGGAGTATCAAAGGTGATGCTGAGAGACTCTGGGTTTGTGTAGCTACGCGAGTGGCGAGAAGGGTTGGGAGCAGGAGGTGTCACCATGCGGTAGTTGCCACAAGGAGTAGGCGTGGGAGTTGCATCAATATCCTGGTCCTGAGAGCGGATCTTGGGGAGGAGAAGAGGTCCATGCTGACGAACAGCAGGAGAGGCTCGAGGAGGTGTCGTCAAACGAGAGCAGAGTGAGTCGTGATCTGAGTCGATGGAGACAGCAGAGTAGACGGAAGCTTTTGAAGAAGAGCGAGAGTGGCCAGAGATATGTCCAGCAGCAGAGGCTGAAGCTGAGGCGTATGCCATGTCAAGGAAAGCCTGGTCAAAGGGCAGAGATGACATGGCAGGAGGAGGACTTGGGCGCTCAATAGAGGCCGAAGGGAATGTGAAGTCGAAAGGCATGTCAACTGAAAGACTCCATAGTATGTTAGAGACATTGTATGATAGTATTGTTGGTTGGTTGACTTACGAGGACATGATGATGGATGTGTATTAGTGCTGTATGTCTATAATCGATGACAGGGGTCAGGGAGACCAGCTCCTTGGGATTGATGCTGAAACAGAGAGTATGGATCTCGTTATAGCAGCAAGGTCTCAAACCAGCGAGACTTTGTGCAAATAGTGCTGTGAAGCTTTTTGATCTGATAATTATGGGTTGATGGTAAGTGATGCCAGATCACGAACAACAAATAGAGAGAGGAGGAGGAGAGGATAATTATGCGAGGTCTAGGAGGATGATTGGTAAAAGACAGGCTGATGATGAAGTGGAAAAGTAGACCAGAGACCCAGGGAGAGGCCGTCTTCTTATGTTGTTGATGAACCATGGAGAGAAATGGTTGGCGATGGGCGACTGAGCTTGGGCTCCCCGGCATAGGACCCATCCGATCCACGGATTGCCACGCACGAAACAAGAAACATTTTCATTGGGAACACGCAAGAGAAGATTCTGAAACACGGTAAAAAAGAGAGTTGAGGTGGAAGAGGAAGAGAACGCGCTTGAAGATGGTTGAGGTGTAAGTTGTAGAGGATCTGATTGGTCAAATCGTATCGACACTGTAAGCGCTCTACTGTAACAACGCAGTGGTATAAGTGCGAGAAAGTCTGTAAAACTGTACTACCCCAGTCTCTACTCCCTGGAGGACATGATCCACGCCAAGGATAGTGCTTCTCGGCTTGGTCCCGTAGCTGCACAAGCCCGACCGCTGAATGGCCCAGCGCTTGTGACTCATTTTTAGATCCTGGACTCGGCATATTTTAGCACGGGAAACACCACAACGCGATAGATTTAGCAGCACGCGATTCTTTTATAGAGACCGTGTTCTAGATACTCTTTTATTTACTACCGCGTTTTGTACCAGTTCATCGTCAGGGACAACCATCCTCCAAAATTCAATGTCTTACAGGGTCAAGACCAGTCCCCCCATCTTCTAAATCTCAAACGTTCCCGTACAACAGCCCATACATTACATGGCATGGATAGTGAGATGACATTAGATGGGATGACATGACATGGCATGGATGTCATAGAGCCTCAGTCCCGGTCTCGGTCTCAGTCTCAGAATAGAAGCAGATTCTCTTACCGGGTTTCAGTGGCCTCGACCAAGCGATAACCGCCCGGCGTCTAATATTAATATACAGTACACACACAAACGGGCGCTTAACAGTAAAAATACCATACAATAGATAGTCTCTTCTTCGTATTAAAAAGCCCACTGTCGCACCATTCCTCCGCGGCTACGGAAATTTGCTCTTCGGTCCACCAAATTACTTGCTCTTTCACCTTGAATTCAACTTACACAGCCTCAACTCCCAAGAGACAAGACTTCAACTCTGATATTCTCGCGATCCTGGCTCTCTCTTCTCATTCGCTGCAAGGCACGCGCCAGGATCCCACGCGCCTTGAGCCAATCAGCATCACATCCACTCACGATCACGAAATTCCAACTTCTAAAAGAGAATGACTGGCTCTAGACTATGGAGAAGATTATGCAGTGTTGCAGCATCTCAACGTGGACGTGGAGTAGCCTTCTTTCTGCCTCTTCCCGTTTAGTGTTTCATGTTTCATTCTACAATTCTCCATCTCCAATCCTTGTCTTGACTCTTCGCCAAGCTTTGACTCCCTGGACTCTTTCAACACGTGCACCCCTGTCGCTCTTCCTCTCTGACTCTTCACTAGAGTTTAGAGTTACGTGTAGCATTGCGTTCTGTGCCTCTCCGTAATATACTTTGTCCACCGGGGTGGGTCACTTGCCCTTGAGTACCTGCTGTCACTTAACGACTCAAGGGGATCTTGATACCCTAGAGTCCGATGAATGGTTCAATGCTATTACACTGACAGTATCCAGATGAATAATGTTTTTGATCTTTTTAAAGTTCATGTTGATGTCTACAGTTCTCAAACTCAACTCCATTCAACTTTGACTTTCTACAGATGCTTATGTCGTATGCAAGAGGCTCACCAATATGTGCCAGACAGGCAGACAGGAAACCTCATTGTAATTCTTTTCACCTGCTGGGTATTCGTCCATCCATCTCTTCCGTCCGTGCCTCTTGACTACTGTAAAGCTATTGCCTCCCTATTCCCTGTACCAAAGACCCTCATGCAGATCAGCTTTAGCTTGGCACCCAGCAAACTATGCCTGCCAATGCTCAACGCGTCTTTTCTAGCTTAATATCACACGTCTCTATAGTGTTGTATACTTGGTTCTGATCCCATGAACTGAACATGTTCGATATCCACAATTGACGCTACCCTCATTATGAAGCGTCGCCACGGCCTCCAGTCTCATCCATCTCGACAGCCTCAGGCTCTGTCACCTGTGGAGGGGCTCGTAGCCTTGTCCCGTTACTCATTCTGGTCAACTCTAGATCCTGGCCATCGGATCTCACCTTCCGGAGCGCCCTCAACATGCCATCCAACTTCATTCTCTCCTGTACCACCATCCCACGGACAAAGTCCCGGATAGCCTGACGACCCATCTTCTCATGTAGGTCTTGCCACCCTGCCAGCTCTCCAGCCACCGTCTGCTGTGTGTATCGAAGTTCCCTTGCAAGGTTTGCGGCCTCTTCTCTTGACTTCCGCGCCCGTTCTTCCTTCTCATCGTAAAGTCGCTGTCTTGTGTCATCCAGGAGGCCAAGTGGCCATCTAGATTTGTTAAGAGAATTAAAGTTTCTGTCGGCCTCACGCTTGGCAGCCCTCATCTGGGAAATGATGGATGGTGGCCGAGACAAGGACGCCAGCAGTGCCTGAACAGTAGATTGTAAAGCTAGGAAAGACGAGTGGAGGTTCGCCTGAGGATTTGACTGGGTAGGAATGATAGATCGCACATAAGTCTCAAACGCCTCTATGTGTCTGGGAGGGAGGAAATGAAGAGTTGAGACAGCTCGATGAAGAAGCACTGACGAGTCGTACATGTCTGCGAAATTGTTAGTTCACTAAGATTCATTGGGTCACGTCGTTCGTCTAGTATACGTACCTGCTGCGACGAGTCCAAGGTTATTGGCGCGTCTCGTCGCACTCTTAATCGAGTAATTCACGCTCCTAATCATTTCTCGCGCGTGATTAACAAACTGTTCAACTTCTCTAACGTCCTCCACTGGCTCGTACTCGTCCCGTACTTTCTCTGCCCGCGTCTCCGTTTTGAGAAGCGTTCGTTGCTCCATCATGTCCAGTTGCAGTTCTGGCACCAGGAAAAACTCCCACAACATTTCGTGAGTAGCAAATGTCGGGTGCATCAACATTATCTTCAGGAACCAGTCTGCGCGAGCCTGCATGTCTCGAAGAATAGCACGAGATGGTTTTGATGGTATTTGGAACGGGGATCGTACATCGGTGAGAGATGGTATCCATGAAGCCGGGTTTTCGAGCGCGAGAAGATTTGGCAGATGCTCAAAATCCGAGAGTGAACGGCGGCTTGTCGTCACTGTATAGCTGTCATGGTCCGTAGGGGCTGCTGACTTCAACACCAACCGCACAGTCGCGTCTTCCACAAAGAATGCTCTGACCACACCAGTGATGCGAGCATCGGGCCCGGCGGGCATACTGAATAAGGCAAGATCATCGATCTTGTTTCGTACGTCGTCGTCCTTGGCCAGTTCAACCGCAGTAAGGCCTCTGATCTCTTTCGCTCCTACATCTACTCTGGGGTCGGCAAACAGCGAGCGGACCATGTCATATCTGCCATACTTGCTGGCTACCATCAACGCCGTGAACCTCTTATCGTTTGTTGCATTGACATCAACATCACAGTATTGTAGGATAGTCATGGCGAGGCTGGCGTTGCTGACAATGTGCAGCAATGTATTTCCTTTGTTGTCGACATGTTCGTCGACGTGCAGAGGCAGCCCATCATGCTGTGCGGCGGCGGCTGCGTCAAGCCCGGCTTCAACCATGCCTAGATAGTTTTTGTGGTCGTAAGAGCGACAAAGAGCGAACAACGGTGTCTGTCCGTTCTTGTCTCGTTGTCGCCAAGGTATCAAATGTCCGATGCGACTTATTAGTGCAGGGGCGTTGAAGAGATAGTGAGCACCGCTGCGTCCCCAAATATCTTGCTGTGCCAAGTATGAAACCAACTGCTCAGGAGTTGTTGCGGCTATGACAAAGTCAAGAATCAGATCGATGATTTGAGCATTGCCTACTTGAATAGCGGCACTCAACAATGTGGTGTCTTCGTTATTCATATCATCGAGAACAAAGGCTGGAGAGAAATAGTCTGTCAGAGAGAGCAGGTACTTTAGTGTCTCTCCTCGTTCAGATTGAATGGCCATCATCAAAACTGACTCTCCAAACGAGTTATTCGTTTGTGACAACCGAGCCACTGAGATATCCCCTTCCAAAGCGCTGCCGATAGTCCCAACACTTCCAGTGCGTGAGTGGAATGAGATTTCAGAATCGCCTGATATACTTCGTGTGTCCATTGAGACCTTTTTCACTCTTCGGACAGGTATCGTAAAGTCGTGTGAATGTGTTTCGTTCTCATCCTCGGCCTGGAAAGGGAATACATGGCCTAGGCCAGAGCCACGAGAGTAATGCTCGTATGGCGATTGGTCGTGAAGAGAAAGACGCAGTGAAGATCTCCTGGACCTTGAAGGACCTGCTGATCTCGATCTCGTATCGTTTTGGAGACTCAATATTGTCGACGGCCGGCGACTAGACGAAGGGGATTCCGATGACTCGTCGTCATCAGCAGCGCCGGAACCAGGTTCCATAATCTTTCTGAGGTCATCAAGAGTGCCTGTTTTTGCCGCATCCCACAGAGCTTTGTTTCTCCTGCTAGCCCGTCGCAACCCAGCCGAGTCAAGAACGAGGTACGCCAACACTGCTTCGAAGGTACTCAACGCATAACCAAGCTCGCCGCTGTCTACATCGTCAATGAATATGAAGTTTCTGACATAGATCAAGCGGGCTTGCAAATGCTTGACTTGCGATCGGATTACGACATAAAGCAAGAACGAAACCAAGGTGTCCGCATTGACGGTCATGATGGGTTTCTCTGACGAAGCGTCAGAAGAAGTAGCTTGCGCTTTTGATGTGTCAGTTAGCTGCGATACAATCTTTATCGTTGACAGCAAAAGATCCAACATGACTTGCGGGCAACCGGCAGAGGAGATCTTCTTGAACTCCTCAACAGCTGGGCCCAGCTGGATGATTAGGTCGTGTTTCGCCTTGGAACCACCATCAATAGCAATGCCCAGCTGGGAGATATCGATGAACTGCATCTTTCTGATCTTGGCCTCTAGTTCTAAATCATAAGGTCTCTTCAGAGCATTGAGCCTTGGCCACAGCTGATTATGGACATTTTCTGTAACATAACGCTCGATCAACTTTTCCACAAGAGGCCCTGTAAGGTCGGTTGTGGCGCCTAGAAGAGACAACTGCTGCTTATCCACTCCTTGAAAGAGATCAATGGCAGTTGTAACTGCAGTTTCAAGAGACGCTCTCATGATGTCTTCATCGTCCTCAGCATAAAAGTTCTCTGTCACTGGCAATCTACTCTCGTCGCGCATACTCGCCGATGCACTATTTGACCGAACTCGTCTTACAGCGTTGGTGATAGGCCCATTCGGTGGGTCTGGAATCTCCTCGACCGAAGAGGGAGGAAGAGGTAGTCGGAAGACATTGTTGAATTCAATAAACAGTTTCTCGAGACCAGGTTGCATTTGGCGCGCGATCATGGGGAAGTTATTCAAAAGGTCGTGGAAGCTCTTGATATCCTTCTTTCGAGGCGCAGCAGCTTCGGTCGACTCGGCATTTGGTGTCTGCTTTTGATCGGGAATCCTGCGCTTCCGTACGCCAGGCACTAGAATCGCTGGAGCGATCTTGTTTTCTTCCCAGATACCCACGAGTGGTCTTGAAATATAGTAGAGGAGCCATTGCCGCGGTTCAAAGACATCGGGGTAGAAGACGATATCGTTAAGTAGCTGTGCTTGCGCGAGCGTTTTAAAGCCTATTCCAGGTCAGCACTATAGCTCTCCAAGCACATTAGGTTGCGCACCTTTGTTGCTATAAATGAAAGCATCTTTGATAACCACGCTCTTCCCGTTCAAGGTTGTAAACTGTTTTGCCTTGCCCCTCACCTCTCGCAGGTTCTGGCTTCCATCCTTGCTTCCCGCAGCACCATTTGGCGCTGGCACACGAAGGACGTGGCTAGCAAGGAAGTCCTCGGAGGCGATGACCTCAGCAGGAGCAGTCCCGCTCTCGGTCTCGCGGAACGTAAGGAGGACATCCGTTGAGGGGACCAGTAAGATATGGTGGTGAACGGGCGTGCACTGGCTGGGGAGGGAGCTCTTGAAGAAGGCGGCCAGGAAGGGGTTTAGAGGTTGCATTCATTCGACTTGCGACCGGCCGTGTCGAAGCTCACTCGACCTCCCGAGGTCGCAACGTTGGAGATGGTATCGTGGGTTGAGATTGGGTGGCTGCGAGGATATAAATCGTGATCGGACCGAACGGATCGCTGACGCATGCGAAATGATAGCTGTAGTTATTGATCGTGATAGAGAATGCTTATGGCGCAGTAGTTGGAGTACTTTTCATGATACAGGTTGAGGTATTCGACAGCGATAACGATAGCGATAACGACAGTCAAGCGATTGGTGTGAAGGAGCCTTTGGTAGGTAGATAAAGTTGAGATATTGGGAAGAGGGACCCGGTAAGAGCGTATGACGTGTGTGAGGTTAAGAAGGAAAGACGAATGATGTCTTATCCTGGGCGGTCGGTCGGTAATCACCAGGATATTGTAGCGAGGGGCTTGGCTAATAAATCAAACGTCGATCGTGATGTACCTAGTCGAGATTTGGTAGAGTCGATAATTGTTGAGAAGCTTCAAAGAGGATGCACGCAATAGGTACAGTTAGTAGTCTAGTCTTGGGTAGACTACAGGGCACGTTGCGATCACTTCCATAAGATCGTCAGAGGCCTCAAAGTACCGGTACTTGGAATGAACACATTCGTGCTGCTGTCATTGTGCATAAATCTTCAGCGACATGTACAGGAACCGATTGACCAACCCGCTCCCGATAGCTTTCCGCACGGGCCCCTGCAGTGCCCCTGAAAGCCGGGCGGGGAATCAATAAGTCCGGCTCGAGTTGGTATGGAGGGTGTTATCACATGTCACTCATTGCGAATAGCTTCATTAATTATGAGACGAGAGTATAGATAAGACTTAATGATTGTTAGTTACGGAATGTTTCAGGGCACAGCCGATAGGTTAAAGAGTATGGAGGGAGAACTGATTAGCGCGTCTAGCGATGTTTCGAAACATCCAATATAACAACTGCCATCCATGTTGATGGATCCAGGGAGCCTCAAACAAGGAGTAAAGAAACAAGGCAAATTTCTTAGGCAATTATCCTTATCGATTTTATTACAACTATGTGCTTCAGTTTGAAACAGAATATACTAACTTATTTTACCTAGAGTTACAAAATGCGCTCCATGTCCTTTAGACTTCACACGCTTCATGGACTTAGACGATATGGTTTGTCTCTGACGATTAACCAGCAAAAGCCCATCCTTATAAGCACAATTCTGCTTTATGAGAGCAAAGCTTAAGGCATATAGTTTTGCTTCTCACGTATGAATAGACAAGTGCTCTGTGAACGTTCGAAAATGTAAAGCTTCTCAAAATCTAACTTTAGATGTCTATCCTATATGACTGTCCAAATCTTCTGAGCCAGATCAATTCACTTCTCCACTTTCGCTCACTTGATGACAATCTACAGACCTCATTCTGAACTCCAAAACAACCGCAATGCTGGCCTCTCCATTCGCCAGGAAGCTTCGCTCCGTCCTTGGAAGCAAACCCAAGTTCTTTGGCCCTGCTCACCCTGACTCGTACCCTCTCTACATCACTGACGATCTCGTCAGCGCAGCGATGAATGCCCTCACTGACAGAGAGGTGGCATGGCCCAGAGACCCTCAGTACCGCATTGAGGTGGTCATGGTCAATATACCTTTGCAGTACTGTCCACCATACATCGCCAACGATATGCCGCCTGAATGTGAAGGAAGGCATCCCTATGTAGTTGCAATCGGAAAGGCGATATTCCGTCGAACGCCTGAGAATCCCGGTGGTGAACTCACCGAGGTCGCGATGATCGAATGGAAACAGAGGGCTGTGACATTCAGTCACTCGCAGAAAGAGCTCGTTACTATCGTTCCCCTAAGAGGTATTACACATAACACCAGGGGACGAAGTAAATGAGAAATCAGGTCTTGGCAGATTCGCGTATTATATATATACGCAGAATATGATACGAGAACCAATATACATGTTTGAAGCAAAGTCATATACAACCATCGTGAAGCTTGCGTGGTATCATAATCCAAACTAAACTATAACCGTGAGCACATGCTTAAAACCAAGCCCATACCCTCCTCCACCAAGCCATCTGACCTGGCACTTCTTTCGATGTTGGGCCACTGTTGTAATCCAAATCTGTCCTTCTTCCACTATCAAGATCGATGCTCCAGCTTCGCTTCAGCGGATCACTTCCGCGCCACAAGATCTTGCAGAAGACATAGATGATACCGAACAAGGGTACCAGGATATAAGCATCCACAAAGTTACCAGCATTGAACGGAGACAACGTAGTCCAGCCTTGTACCAAGGCCAGGAAGATGCAAGCCGCCAGACCAAACCAAGCAAGATAAGGAAAGCCCAATGCCTTGTAGGGGAGGTCGTTGAGGCTTCGTCCCTGGGCAACCCAGGCTCGACGGAAGCGAATATGGATGAAGCAGATGCTGCCCCAAACAAGGAAAGCACTAACACCAGACAGGTTGACGATGTAGCTATAGGCTTTGGATGCACCAGTGGAGACATTCATCATAGAGATGGCGCCGACAGCATTGGTAATCAGAATAGCCCAGACAGGAACACCACGTTTGTTAGTCCAAGCAAATACTTTGGGGGCTTTGCCAGACTGAGCCATGTAGAAAACAGTACGTGAGCCGAAGTAAATGGATGAGTTGATGGCGGACAAGCAAGTCAGAAGAATGAAGGCGTTGATAAGGTGGACACCTGCGATATGTTAGCATCAGTAAACAAGCATAAAATGACAATGTACTGACCTCCTTGCCAACCAGCAATCTCAAGGGCAATAGTCATAGGGCTTTGGAGAGCCTTGGAACCTCCATTTACCAGTCCACTCGCATTAGCAGGACAAGTAATGCCAAAGAAGAGAGCGGATCCCATGTAGACAAAGATGATACGCCAAAAGACCTGTCGAATGGCCTGAGGAACAGCTACACCAGGGTTTCTGGTCTCAGTCGCAGCTACAGCAATAGACTCAACACCAGAGTAGAACGTGGCGCAGAACACAAAGACTGAAGCAACGCCGCGGAAGCCATTCCCGTTGAAGGCTCCAGGATCACTCCAGTATCTGAAACCCAAAGGCTCGTCCTGGCCTACCAAGCCGCCCGCTGCATAGATGATGGCGAAGATGAAGTATGCTGTCAAGCCAAGTAGCTTCATAAGCGCAAGCCAGAATTCAGCCTCACCAAAGGCTTCAACACCGAGCAGTTGGAATCCCATGAATACAGTCCAGAAGATAAGGAAGTAACCCCAGAGAGGGACTTGAGGTCCCCAGTAAGTGAGAATACTGCAGATAACATTGTACTCATTGGCGAGGACCGCAGCCCAGATAACAAAGTAATTCCAGCCTACAGCGACAGAAAAGGACTTGTCTACCATACGCTCAGCGAGAGAGATAAAGGAACCCCCACCGGGATACAATGTGGTCACTTCACCAAGAGACTGCATAATACAGAAGGCGATGATACCTGTGAGAGTTAGCATGGTATTCTCAAGAATATTGTGCATACATGGGATCTGAAGAGGCTCGCTGCGCAACAAAACCCTCCCAACATCGCCACACAGGAACACAAATGGGAACTTACCAACAACGCCAAATCCAATTAGCAAGGCAGCTGGTCCTCCAACGTTCAATGCGCCACCTGCGCCAACAAGAAGTCCAGGTCCGATAATACCAGCCAGAGCCATCATGGACAGATGCCGATTCTTCAAGCCGCGCTTGACGCCAGTATCCGGGTCCATGGAGTCGGATTCGGATGCATCGTTGAGGCGCGTAGAGTCATAGTTGTTGTACGCAGAAGGGTCATCGCCGGCGACGACATCTTCGTCCTTGTTGTGGCGGTAGGCCATAACGTTGGAATTGGCTATCACAGCCTCTTCAGTATTAAGAGGGGATATTAAAACAGAACTGATCGCCTGGATTGAGCGGCAGTACCAAGAGATAAAGCCGTTGAGATGTAGAGTTTAAAAGTGTGACGGGCCCCCGATTAAGGTATGTATAAACAGAACTTCTACTACCACGTGCAAAGGGCATGCAGAGAAAAGTCGATATAGAGTTGTGAGGCGACTACAGTCCTGTACTACGGACTTACCATTATGCCATCACCAAAGGGCCCGCTGGGCTAACGCAGGCGAGCATAGGGTTCTGCATTCAAAGTAGGGATCGACCCGCTTGTTGATGGGTTGCTCGAGAAGCTATCCTTATTAGGTCCTCGGATCCCGTCTGCTGGTCATGGAGGTTTAGGTACCCTGCAAGGCTGGGTACTCGGATATAGCGCTGAAGGAGTAATAGTGCAGTATGTAGCTGTAGCCTAGAGTTGTTACTATTAGTTCGACGTCTAAAGTCCGAAACTAGTCATGCAGGCTCTGTAGACAAAGCAGTCTCTTGCCTCTTTCAATTGTTGATAGATAGGTAGTGTCACTATCTGTCTTGTATGGAAGCCCCCACGCAACAGGCTGACTTTAGGTATAGCACTGTATGCATACGGCTTATCGTGCATTGAATGCTACCTCTGTTTCTGGTCTCTTCTGAATCTTGAACAGTACATTGTGGCGTTGAAATCCCGGGGTTGTCCCAAAACGCCATAATTATCGCCGATCACGACATGGCCTAAAAAAATACCGCGCAACAAGACACTGAAGAGTTTGCAAACGACCGAGAAGATATAAAAGTGGTGCAGCAGTGGAGTTGGCTAGCGTCTTAATCTTGGAAGTATCCATGATGGTTGATACTTGAGTCGGGGAGATGAGAAGTTTGACTTCTCAAGCTTAAAACTTGCAGGGCACAAGTTTTGTTAGTTAGTAAATTCTCTTGGATCCAATGGCCAGCTTGATATCGATTGTGCCATATTGGCTCATCATGACGAGACTGGGTTAAAGACAATACCACAGTAGTCGCCATCTCTGGTATTTGACACCCAATCATATCCTCTGCGTGTCTCAACTCGACCGTTGAGATGGCAAGCTTTCCCAAGACACCACTACTATAGTACATTCCAAGTGCCCAGCTAGTTAGCTGAAGTCGTCCTTGGACCACACTTGGCCGTTCATGCAGGGCCGGTCTGGTCCGGACCATCGGTACCGGGTCTGCTCCACATCGCCGGTTTTATCTCAGATTCTTTGGGCGGGGCCGTTCTAACATCGTTCTATATACAGCACTTTAGTGTGGTTGTGTGATGGAGACTCATAATAGCAGGTTCGATTAATATGTCTTGTTATCAATAAGGATCCAGCTTGTTCTTCAAGGACAGTACTGCATGTATATAAGCATGCCAACCTATGGCATATAGCATACAATCGTATAATTATCCTTGTCCATCTAATTATACCGAGTAGTGATAGTACTATCTCGCAGCTCTTCGCATATTCCTACGTGCAGTTTCAAACACTGACACCATCAAGTATCTCTTCAAAAATCTCCAGGTTGCCTTCACCTCTTTTATCAAACACAGCAAACCAGATCTCCTCCCACCAGCCACCTTGGAACTCAGGCTCCTTCAACACTTCCAGCCAGCAGCGAGCTATCTCTCTCGGTGGGTTCTGGAAAGCACCACATCCCAATGCACCGAGTACTAGCAATCTATGCCTTCGATGTGCTGCCATTCTGAGGCACAATCTCATCTTGAGCTTGGTGAGTTCGCGATCAGAAGCTTTTGCAAAAACTGTCCTGGCCACAGGATGTCCTCGTACGGTCTTGACAATGTCGGCGAGAGGAGGTAATTTCAATGCGGCGATGCTGAGAACACTGACGATAGGGAGGTTTGCAGGTGGTGTATGAGGCGTAAGAAGATGATGTCCGGAATCTTGATCGGAGCGAATGATGACAACGTCGCGGGTGTAAAGACCCATACGCTGCTTCCAGGGAAAGTATCGTCGATGGAGTGAGAGTGCCAGCGAGCTTCGATAGCATAGAGCCTCCTCCTGAGCACGCGCTCCCTTCAGCCACCCTCCACCTGGACTGACATGGCTGGCCATATTCAACACGGCGACCCGACCTGTGCCGGATCCTTTGGCAGCTGCGAGGTCGATGGCAGCATTGAAAGTATCGTCGTTGACAACTCTGATCCTTGCGGGTGATCTTCTGGGACAATAAATTGCATCGAGAGGGGCTAGACTTGTATAATAATGGCGCTCAGATCTTGTGGCATCGATATGAGGCAACTGGGCTAAGATGTTGGGGAGGACTGCCAGCGTCTCCTGGGCTACTGCTGCAAGCGCCGCACCCCGTCTGTAGGGATCTGTTCGTCTGTCGGTAGCATAAGGGGAGTAATGACTTGACGGAAGCTGCCTTGGGGGCCTCTGTTCTGCTCTAGATGCCTGACCAGATGTCGAAGTAACGGGCCTGGAGGGAGATCTTCTAGATATCCATGCGTCCAGGGTCCATTGGCGAAAGTTCGAATCGGGTGGCATTGTGGAGTTGGCAAATTGGCATGTAGATATTGGGGTTTGAGTTCACGACGATGAGATACTTTCTCTCAATTTATTGTCTTGTATGGGGGTGGTTTCGCAAGCCCAGGCAGGGTACACGTTGTTGGACGAATATGAATTATTCCGCTCGTGATTGTTGGTTCTATGTTTTGTTCAACGATGTGAGCACAGTTCAACAACATACCTATGGAGTACCGAGCTAGGCAACAGCGGCTCACAGCTCACAACAGCTCTAATGAAATGAATCACAAAGCCCCCAAACAATCAAAAAGAAGAATATCTGGATGGAGATTTTCTGTGATTGGAAGTTTTAGGCGATTATCCATTTCACTGGATTATAGAATCGCCCAAGAAACTGCGCGACTTGTCACAGCGAAACAAATGAGGCACAGTAAGAGTATTGTACTCTGTTACTGGACATGGCCAAGACTGGAGCAAAGTAATTGTGTACGACAAAATGTGAGAGTCATATGTTCTCTTGTCATATCCAGTATGCATCACGGTCTCTAATATACAATCCTTCTCGTTCTACTTCCAACACGGGTATCAAAGGTGGCTGGTCATATGGTACATATTCGTACAATCTCAAAAAAATACACAGGTCGATCAAGCTGGTGTCTTAATCGCTCCCTCTGGGACCTCATCTGAAGCCTCAAACTTTCTTGGGATGAGGCCTTCAGCCATATCAATAGCACCCTGCATGTCGTTCTTGTTGAACAAGAACAGTCCTTGGATTGCGGCAGTGCTTGTGTGTCGATTCGATGGTTCCCCATCAGGTCCAACTCCGAACAGACCCAACTTTTCCAATCGGTTAAGGAATCGTTCTCGCCCGGAGTGATCCTTGTCAACATCGCCGTAGAATCGATCCCACATCTTCTCAGCCTGGTAACGTGTCGCTTCACCAATACGAAGCATCAAGTCCACTCGGCCAGGTCGGATCAGCGCAGGATCGAGCCGGTCAACGTGGTTGGTCGTCAGGAATGCAATACGCTCTTCACCTGCTGCAACACCATCGAGGGCATTGAGAAGGCCGGAAAAGGTCACTGTCGCGCCATTGTAGCCATCGGCATCCCGCTGTCGTCGGTTGACAAAGGCTGCATCAGCATCCTCGAGTAACAGCAGACTCCTCTTGGGTAATTTCGTAAGGAGATAAGCCAGCTTATCGTCTGTCATGCCCATCTCGCTAAGGTTTATCATGGCCACGCTGAAGTCCAGCTCTCCTGCAAGTGCCTGAATAAAAGAAGTTTTTCCACTGCCTGGGGGCCCAAACAGCAAATATCCTCTTCGGTACGGGATACCTCTATCCACATACCATTGTTGTCGATTCAAAAAGTCTTGTACGTCGTTAACAACGTTTTCCTTGACACCCTCATCCAGTATCACCGAATCCAATGGGCGCTTCTTGCGAGGATCGCCGAGCGGCAGCCAATCCATCCCTCTAGCCGAGTATACTATTGTCTTTCCTTCATTGGCTTTTGCTGCCAGTTCACGCGCCTCCTTGAACACTTCTTCGAATACATGTCGATGCGCCCAAAGCGTCGTTAACTGCACAATCTCGTGCGGTTCACCCGTATTCATATTCGCTGTGTTGTGCTTCTCTCGGTTCACGGCAATGTAGACATTGCCGGTCTTGACTATATGTCGTCCGTAGCCGGGCTGTACGAAGAATTGCGCGTTTTGAGGTCCGCTAGACCCTGCGGTCCGAGATGCGTTGGTGGTAGTGATAGAGACATTATGTATTCGTGTAAGTCGAGAAGCGATAAAACCCGGTGTTTCGCGAGGTTGAGACAGCCATGCTAGAATCCATGGGTATGCTGGATCTTGCTTGCTGATTTCGAGATTCACGAGCAAGCGACGGCGGGCTGCTCCAAGTGCGGATACTGCACCTTTACGCGCGAAGGCCGCAACTGCTCCCAAAGATGCGAGACCTATTCCGCCTGCAAAGAGAGGGTTGTCGAAGAGCGCATTGATATTAAGTCCTGATGCTGCCGCTGGAGGTGTCGGCTTTTCGGCGTTCGGGAAGCTTGTAAGAGCTTCCTTCAATGTTTCTTCGTCCATCGTCGGTAGATCAGACGGTTCCCTATGCTTTCACATTGGCTCGGGCCGACACAACACCAGGGAAAGCATTGGCTTGAAGGGCTGAACTATGTGATGTTCAAGTTTGGGAAACGATACATTGGCTAGGGTTTTTGAAAGGCCCTCTTTTTTTAAACCAGACGTCATGCACGTGAAATCTACTCATATCAGCACATGCCGTACAACCATGAAGTAGATTGATATCATGTTGAAATAGCAGTATTACTAGCGGAATAAAATTAGCTGTTGACATGAAATGCCTTTCGTAGTGACATTGCCTAGTTAATTGTGATTCGATTCAGAGACGTGCGACGGTTAATTGACATAGTTTTGATGTTAAGACATATTCAGTTCGCTCGTGTCAACATGGCGTCTTTAACTAGGTATTCACGATACTCAATTAGTAAGTAATTAAAACTCCCATTGTTAGTTACAAGCCAGGGTATTGATTTTCATCTTATGTGCTCTCACGGGCAAGGATTCCGATGCCCTTCAAGACTCAAGGTGCCTTCAGGGTAGACAGGACTGTAGTGTCTAGCTCTCGAGTATAGAAAAGTTGCCCTTCGGCCTAAGGACGACAGAAGAAGATGGTCTCAATGCCGGTCTAAACTGGCATAAAGTTACCAATAAATCATTTGATCTCTTATTTATCAACGCATACATGAGCTTGTGGTCATCTGCAGTAGCTGCTTGGAACCCCGTTTGCAAGTCGGTCTCCCGTCATCAACACCAATCAATATCCCTGGAACTAAAACAGTATTAGAAAAATGGACAAAAAATGCAAAAAGAAACAGCTGATGGGCACTGAGAGACTTTGCTCCCGCCAGGGCTTGAACCTGAGACCTTCGCATTACTGAATATTCAGATTGAAGTATTAGTACGACGCTCTAACCAACTGAGCTACGGAAGCCAATCAGCTGTTGTTGACAAGGCGATACCGAATGGAATTCATGAGTTGCTCACTCAAGTCTGATGCAATTGCAGGGACTAATTTCTATTCCTTGCCGGTCAACTGGCGGGACTGCTCGAGGAAACCCGGAACTCCATGAACGAGGCGGGCGGTGGGGTTGAGGGACGAACGGAGGGACTGGCTGGTGGGGGTTGATCTCAAAATTACGACATGCTTGCTTTGGGGTGCGACGTCCCTGACGTCCCAATTGAATATATCCTCGGGCTGAAGGGGTTAAGATTGGATCCAAAGATCAACCAGAATGGCCGGAAATGCAATTGAGAGCTGCTCAGGCTGCCTCCGAGCTTCAGTAGGTCGCATTGCAAGCTCAGGAACGCAGTGATCAACAAAATCAACTACCGTCCACGACTCGCGTCGATAGAACGCTGGTGTAGGCTGAGAAATTTCTTTGCAGATGTACATATGCGGTATCTTCGATCAGCGTTCGGCATCAACCGGGCTAATGGTCCAACAAACATAAATAGAATCGACCAAGTTGCTGATCCGAGTTTATCTCGTCATTGGCATGATGCTGCTGGCCGGTATTCGATGACCGAGATGATGTTCCACGGCAACTTAAGAATACCCCCCACAAGGATGATGTCGAAGCTCCACCAATTGAACTGCGATCATGATTTTCAACCTCGAATTGGGAAAATTGAGTTCAATCTGAATGATTCTGCTGGAGAAACACGCTTCCCCCATGCAAGTCTTGCGTTTTTACGAGAATCGTCGAGAAGGATTGTTGCTGGTAATGCGACTACACCCATGCAGTGAGCTTTTCCATTGGCTTCGCAATCGTGATATAGGAAATGATACAGTAGGCTGGGCAGGAGGCATCAGCGTAATCCAGCCCGGGAGTGCCCACAGCCATGGCGGTGTTCTAGCCAACCGTGATGCTCACGATGTTTAACTATGCGGGGAAATGGGGTCACACGAGAATCATAGTCAATGTTTTGCTAACAACAACGAGTGACGAATCCGATGAATGGTCTCAATGACCAATTCGTTCCGCATGTTTCCGTCGATTACCCCAAACTGTCGGCTGTGGTATGAAAAGCTCTCGGCACAGCGTAGAGGAGGGCATCATATAAGTCGGGTGCCCCTCCCCCCATGGCGATGTTTTCATTTTCAGATCTTGACAATTCATCCACTTATCGTCATTGCCGACATCATAGCTGGGTCTCCCGTTTAACTGCCAAAAAGTGTGTAAGTCGCATCGCTCTCCACTGTTACATACCGAGTCCAATCCCATCCACTGCATTTGTTCTGCAACGGCGCCGCTGTGTTGGCGACTCCACTTTACCACCGAGGATTTACTCAACAACGTCAGTGAGCTCTCACTAGCTACCTCGAGTGAGATTGCTGGGGGAGCGATTTTCTGGACAAAGTCTTGGTCCGACGAGGATACCTGAGCCAGGCTGTCCTATAGCGGAGACAAGGTGGGCAACATGATAGAGAGCAGAGTTGTGAGAGGAAGAGAGAATAGCGCAGAGCCCGAGAGAAGGTCAGAGAAGACATATCGGCCGCGGAGCCACCGGAGAGACACCGGGCAACGGAGCTCCCGGGGACCTGAAAGACTGAATCGGGTTGAGGTGTACGGTGAATGCCCGTTTCTGGTGAGGTGATCCCATCGTCTCACTGGGTGGTGCGGCGTATCGTTCAACAGTCTCAGCCCATTCAACAGCCCTGGAAGGCCCGTGAAACTCAGTATACGGGCCGGGAGTCTCAGACGATTCGCGACGCACGTCGGCTCTCGCCAATCGAGGCGCAGAATGCTGCGAGATGGATTAGACGCGCATTCCTGACGAAATAAAAAACTCCGCTGTCTTATCATACTGTCGGTTTATGCCTCACCGACATGGCAATGTTGGATGTTGTAAACAGCTCATGGCCTCAAACCTATGAACTCATCTTGACCCGCACAGAGCGTCTCTCGGCAAGAGCGTCAGAAGTGCCCCTCCTTCCCTGCCAGCTCTGCCCTGTCTGCCACTCTGCCCCTCCAAAAATCTGCCCCTTCCCTGAGACTGAGAGCATCCCGTCACTACGCAACAGCTTGCATTATCGATAAGACCCAAACTAAATTGGATTCAAAACCCCGCCACGCCCCTCCTCTTCGTCATTGCTCGTTTCATTCATAACTAACAGCTTTCTTGCTCATTAGACTTTTTCTCTTCTTCATCTTTTCATCTCAACCTACAATTCATCAATCCTAAACCTCACAAACCGCAATCATGGGTGTCCAAGAAGTCCTCAGCCGCAAGTCCGGTGTCATCGTCGGTGACGATGTCCTCCGTCTCTTCGAGTACGCTCGCGAACACAAGTTCGCTATCCCCGCCATTGTAAGTCAACCATCTCAAAAAGGCACTCGAAAAACTCTGCTAAGACCAGGAACTTTAGAACGTCACCTCTTCTTCCACTGTCGTCGCTGCCCTCGAGGCTGCCCGCGATGCTAAGGCCCCCGTCATCCTCCAGTTCTCCCAGGGTGGTGCTGCCTTCTTCGCCGGAAAGGTACGTTCCCCAACAAATTTTCGTGCCATTGACATCAGACTGACAACTTGAAAGGGTGTTAGCAACGGTGACCAGAGCGCTTCCATTGCCGGCTCCGTCGCTGCTGCCCACTACGTTCGCTCTCTTGCTCCCACATACGGCGTCCCTGTCGTCCTCCACACCGACCACTGCGCCAAGAAGCTCCTCCCTTGGCTCGATGGTATGCTCGATGCCGATGAGGCTTACTTCAAGGAGAAGGGCGAGCCTCTCTTCTCTTCTCACATGATCGATCTCTCTGAGGAGCCCGTCGACTGGAACATCGAGACCACCGCCAAGTACCTCAAGCGCGCTGCCCCCATGAAGCAGTGGCTCGAGATGGAGATTGGTATCACTGGTGGTGAGGAGGACGGTGTCAACAACGAGGATGTTGACAACAACTCCCTCTACACCCAGCCCGAGGATATCCTCAACATCTACAACACCCTCTCCCCCATCTCCCCCTACTTCTCCATCGCCGCTGGCTTCGGTAACGTCCACGGTGTTTACAAGCCCGGCAACGTCAAGCTCCACCCCGAGCTTCTCGGCAAGCACCAGGCTCACGTCAAGGAGGCCATCAAGTCCGACAACGACAAGCCTGTTTTCTTTGTCTTCCACGGTGGCTCCGGCTCCTCCAAGAAGGAGTACCTCGATGCCATTGGCTACGGTGTTGTCAAGGTTAACGTCGACACTGACATGCAGTTCGCTTACTGCTCTGGTATCCGAGACTACATGGTCAACAAGCGCGAGTACGTCAACACCACCGTCGGCAACCCCGACGGCGAGGACAAGCCTAACAAGAAGTACTTCGACGTAAGTTTACACCCTACTGACATAGATCTGGAGTTTTATACTAACGTTTGTCCAGCCCCGTGTCTGGGTCCGTGAGGGTGAGAAGACCATGGCCAAGCGTGTTGCTGAGGCCCTCGAGGACTTCAACACCGCCAACCAGCTATAAATGTCTTCCAAGACACTGGCTTTAATGATATCCCACTAGCGCGACAAAGTTCATGAAATACCGTTTGGAAAGAAAAAAAGAGGGACCAAAGAATAGCCCCTCCCCTTGGTTCAAGCACAACATTGATGTTGAAAGTTGCAAGGGACGTTATGAGGTGACGAAAGTAGCAAATTAATGAAAAAAAAATTGATGAAGCATAAATGCATTCTTTACTTTTGTGAAGTTGGTAGAAAATGTTTGAATTACTAAATTTTATATGCATTTCATTACAATATAGTCAAATGCGTTGACATTTTGCAAGCTTCAATGTTGTGTCAATAGATCATCGCGAATTGGAGTACATGAAAACCATGTCATTAATCGTAGAAAGTACATAAACTGTCGAATATCATACAAACCAAACCAGTCCGGCCTATTGGTTCCCTACGAATTGTCTCCTGTACTAGAGAACATGTGCCGAGCGCCGTTTATTCTAACCCATGACCACCTCTTTTGATTCTGCTTTGTCCCTTTCACTACCCGTCTTCTGTTATCATGTATTATAACCAGAATTAGCTTCACCTGGCATTACTACTGTTGCTTGAGGATCCTCTTGGGTGTAACTACCATCCAAGAAGCTCCTTCTCCATCTGAGCAATGTCATCCTGGGTGAGCTGCTTAGCAGCACGGGCATCAGCCTTGACCTTATCAAATCGCCAGAGGCCGCCAGTCTTATCAGCCTCGCCATCAACAGGCACACCGACGACCTTGCCGAGTTGCTGAAGGACGGGGTCTTGTCCCTCGACAGCGGTGAAGTATTGGCGATCCCATGCGCGGCCCTCCGAGCGCTCCTTGGTGCGCATGTTGCGCTGGGCATGCTCGATCTTGCCCTTCTCAGAACCGGTGGTGTCCATATCGCCCTTCTGGATGGCTTCGGCGACACGAGACCAGGCACGACGAGACTCGAGGGGATGTTGCTGATCGATAGGAGCAACGCGGAGCTCAGTCTGGGCGGTGTTGACAGCGTCGTATGTGCTCACAAGTGTAGACTTGGAGTTAGACTTGGCGGGTCCTGAATAAACCTCAAATGACTTGTTCCACTGGCCGGTGACATTGTAGAGAACCTCCTTCTCCTTGCCTGTAGGATGGACAGTGGCAACAATGGTGTTCTTCTTGCCAGACAGCCATCCCTTACCGCTGTAGTCGATCTTGGAAGTGAAGCCGCTGGAGCTGGTAATATGACTTGAGCCATCAAGCTCGACGAAGGGCGCACCGAAAATCAAACCCTCGATATGCAGGCCAGGGAGGGTGATGAGGTAGGATTCAATCTCGCCCGAGGCAAGAGGAACACGAAGAACGGCATGACCAATTTGCTTGACGATAATGGTGCTCTTGAAGGTGGCCTTCTGGGCATTGTAACCCTCGAGCTCGACGCCAGTCTTGTTGTTGCGAATGCAATATGCGGTAGCAGGAGGGTGGTGGCTAACCTGTTCTGAGATGAGAGTGGTCTCGCCAGCTTCGTCGGTCCAGGTACCGAGGAAAAGTTCACCAAGAAAGGGGTTCAGAGGCTTCTTTTCGTTTCCAAACTGCTCACTTCTGCTGGCGTATTGATGTTTGAGGGTCGAAAGGAACCACTTGAGGACGAGCATAGCACGCTTGGCGGGATCAGACTCGGCAGCAGGGGCGGTCAGGACGGGAGGGTGCGTGGCCCAGTAGGCAGAGAATTCGGTAAGAGACTGGGAAGAGAGGATGAATGGAGGCGCGGTGAGCGAAGAGAGGTCGCCATTGAAGGAAGCAATGGACTATAGAGCACGTCGAAAAGACGGGGGTTAGCTACCGCGATCACTCACGAGTCGATCAAACTTGGACCAGGTAAAGCATGAGGTCGAATATTTACCTTTAGGAAGGCGGTCCAGCTGCTGCTGTTCGCCTGAGCGGCCGGGGTGGTTGCGGACGACATGATTATGAATTTGCACTGGGCGTAGAAAAAAAGTCGGGAGATGGAGTTGTAGCTTTCGCGATAGGAGATTTCGAGAAGCGGTCTCGTGTACAGGCAGTATCGAGCCAGGTACGTACGGTAGTTACAGTAACGAGGAGGGGCCCGATTGCGATTGCGGGGTTGTGGAAGCAGGGGGAGTCTCGGGCAGCTGTTCAGGACAGCTATAGGGGAGAGTATACGCGGGGCTGATACAACCTCCACTGCTTCACTGTAGGTGACTAGTCGCAGGGCAGTTTAAGGGTTCGGTCGGTTGATGCCGTAGGTGACTGAGGTACCTAGGTATCTATCGAGGAGACAAATGTTGGAAAACAGTCTTATTTATATGGATAGTCACCACTGTAGGTATTAGGGGGCAGTTGGTGCGTTTCAGCAGAGAGGGAAAATAAATGGTTGATCGCAACAATAGGGTCTGAAGAAAAGGCGAAGAGGAGCGATGATGAAGAAGGATAAATCACCCGGACCAGGAAAAAGGAATTCGACTTTTTAGGCATTTAACTACCAGGTATATTCTCTAGCTCTTCAATCACGAGACTATTTGCTAATTCAACAGAATACCTACCCAAGACACGTCGCAAGCGTAGCGACCCTTGGAGAAATTGAATACGCCCATCATGGACAGTTCTGAGAGCACTTGGGCTGCCGCCCCCATCATCGCTCGAGCCCATTACGTCAACACTTATACGCCGTCATGACGTCTCGTATTCGTAACTTATGGTCTATGCTGAGTTGGGATGAATGTGGTAAGAGATCTTGCAGTTGCTGGTACTGAGTAATTAATGAATTAATCTTAAAATCGCATCACATTGGCGGCCTCGCCTGTGCTTCACAAATTGTTCCCATGCAGGTCTTCTAACGTAAAGTAACTTTAAGCTACCTATCATGCATCGCATCTTCCCACTCGTATCCGCAACATTGTTCCGACTGCCTCTTTGGCATCCATGATAATTATCAAGATCCCGGATATAAGATATTAAAGAGTGAGCACAGTGGCATTACCCGAGACAGAAAGATATGATTGCCAAAAGAAAAAGAAATAACATATGTGGTATCTCAATAAATACAAACCCATGTAGGAAGGATATTACAGTTTATCATCCAGTCATTACTCCGCCTACCCATCAAAACAACCTGGTCGCCAAAAATCACTCCCACCAGATAGTCAGTTGTATTTCCATCCCTCAATTAACTCCGCGATATTGTCCAAACCTCTTTGCATAGCCATGCCAGCAGGCGTCCCTTGTCGATAGCCTCCTGCGCCATCCCTATCTTCCCATGCATCCCACACAGCATTTGCGTGGTACTGTCGAGCTCCCTTTTCAAGCAGCATTCGGACACCCCCTATGTGTCCGCGCAGAGCCGCATAATGAAGCGCTGTCGCGCCTCGGTCGTTTTGATGATTGACATTGATCCCCTGTTGTAATAGAATCTTGAGAGTTGCTAGGTTCGCTGATGCTTCAAATAGAAGTGTATCACCATGCGTGGTTAAAGCGCGTGTGTTCGCACCTAATCGGAGAAGAAGCCGAACCGTCGAGACATGACCATGGGATGCTGCGACTGATAAAGGAGTCCGTCCAGGAAATATAGTACTCTCAAGCGACGCGCCATACGATACAAGCCGCAAGAGGATTTCGTCTCGTGCGTGCTGAGCGGCCACATGAATCGGCGTCGTTTGTGGTTCGGGGACGAGATACTCCCTACTGCCCCTGGAAAGAAACATGGACGTCATCTGCATCCCAGCTCCTAGCTCTAGGAGTACAGTAACGAGGCCAACGTCCCCCATCTTAACTGCATGGGCAAGTACGCTCATGCCATCCGGCCCAACTCGTTCGATATCGGCACCCAGGTTGATCAGGCGAAGAACACTCTGGCCGTTGCAAAGTTTGGCAGCTATCAAGAGAGGAGTTTCACCATTTCTGTCCAAAACGTCGATGGGTGCCTCCGATTCAGCCAGGAGTCGGAGTATGTGAGGTTTGTCTTTGTGCGCCGCCATATGCATGGGCGTGTAACCAGACTGCCCATGTGTTTCTGTTGGATCTGCACCATGAGCGATGAGATATCTCACCGTCTCGTCATGTCCAGTGGCTGCTGCTGCGAGAAGAGGCGTGTTTCCGTTTCGGCTCGGCAAGTTTGGATTCGCACCCATGTCCAGGAGTGCAGCTGTGATGGGAGTACAGCGAGTACTGATGGCCATTGTTAAAGGCGTGTGCTCACGAAGCTTACGGTCAACGTTCGCTCCGCGAGATATCAACACTTGAGTGAACTCTTGGTTGCGCATTGCTATCGTCAGGTGGAGTGCTGTTTTCCCATCCGGCAATCGGACCTCGAGATCTGCTCCAGCCTGTACTAATTTCGTCGCCGCAGACCAGTGGGCGTGTTGTATCGCTATATGTAGTGGTGTGTGACCCTCATAGTCGACCAAATTGATATCTGCGCCAGCGTTGATAAGAGCTGGTAGTGTCTCGTCCTCGAGAACGTCTGAGGCGGCGGAGAGGTGAAGAGCGGAGCGCCCATCGTTATCGATTGAATTGATGCGTGCCTTCATATGAATAACAAGTCTCGCAAATTGTTCCGAGAAGCCACATTTGATGCCTCTCATCAAGGCTGTATCGCCGTCAGTAGTCGGCTCGTCAACATCTGCGCCAGCAACAATTAGGAATGCAGCGATCAACATGTGCTTCTTGTCAAAAGCGCGGTGCAGGGGAGACAACATTGATCCCGCCAGCGTTATATTGGGGTCTGCGCGCTCGAGCAGGATGTTAAATACGGCTGTTTCATCGGTCTGTTCGATGGCATGGTGTAATTCGTGTGCGACATCTTTAGTCTGCACATAAGTGACTCCAGGAGGTGGGACCAGAGTATCTAGAAGTATTTGTATCTCGGTAGAATCGCTGACTCGAGGCAAGACGATAGAGCGTTGACTTGGTGCTGTGAACTTTCGTCCGAGACTTCGAAGGGCCTCATCTACCTCAATGTCAGGTTCGATCACGCGACGCCTATTCAGGTCACTTTCTCCGAAATTATAGCCAGCCCTGACAAAAAGAGTTAGCGAGAAGTTGGAAAAACGTGAAAAGACCACTTACCGAGTTGCAGTGTTAAGAAGAGTGTGGAGTGACGCTTGGTGAGTGCGTAGTCGTCCAAGATATTCCTTCAAAGCTGCTTCGTTCCAGACAATGATGAGCTGTGGTTCATTAAGATGAATGCCACTATCTCTGTCTGGTCCCTTGATCCGTTTCAATGCAGCCCTAAGCTCATGTACGTCTTTTGAAACAGAATAGACGAATTCGTTGTTTGATGCTCGTACGCTTTCTGTGCCACCTTCAATTGTCCGGCTGAGTTCGTGTAACCTGTCAAGCGCATCTGTGATTGCACGACACTCCTTGGCGAGCGCAGCCAATACGACTGGACTAGTGTTGAGACAGTTTGAGAAACCCCTGCATTCCTCGGAAAGTTGTTCGCATATGTCGATAAGGTCTTGGACGTTGGCCTTCTCGACTCGATTCTGGAGATCCATCCTTGGGGAAGGAAAAGTCGAAGGAAGTCAAATTTGCTAGAAAAAGCCAAAGTCGTAACGGCCGTACAGGACTGGACTCGCGTAGGAGGCTTGGGGGGGGGGGGGG